TAATCACAGTAACCAACAATGTACTGTAAAAGATCACAGTAACTAACAATGTACTGTAGATGATCACAGTAACCAACAATGTACTGTAGATAATCACAGTAACCAACAATGCCCTGTAGATAATCACAGTAACAATGTACTGTCGATAATCACAGTAACCAACAATGTACTGTAGATAATCACAGTAACCAACAATGTACTGTAGATAATCACAGTAAACCAACAATGTACTGTAGATGATCACAGTAACCAACAATGTACTGTAGATGATCACAGTAACCAACAATGTACTGTAGATAATCACAGTAACCAAAAAAGAAAGAACCAACCGAAAAACCCCATTTCTAGAATAGCTAAAATATCTAAAATATCTTAAATAAACCAACATATTTTTCTTAATATACATAATCTTGATGCAGTGTAATTACTAGTTTGGCTATACTAGATATTTTATATACTTAGTAGATATATATTTGTAAGACCCTATGTCTTTGCAAACCGGAAGAACTGCAAATGTGGTGCTGATTTATACAAAGAATGTGTCTTGGCATTGCACCTTAAAAACGCAACACAGAGGAATAAAATAGACAAAAGTAAGGTAATAATCATCATTTTTATTATCATTGTGGTGGCTGGAAAGTAGATGAGAATAGTCAATTGCAGCTGGGGGAGGTCTCAAAAAGCTTGCCTGAAGTCGGACAGTTCGGAGTCGGCTTGACTCGGTTTGCAATGGCGGAATTTGCGTTGGCGTTCTTCGTTGCATATGAACAATTATTATATCACTACAAATGAATGACTCAAGTGTCTGTTCATTTTTAAAACAAATCAATACAAGGGGGGTTGAATCCTACATGTAAAAGACAGAACCACTACTTTGCAAAACTACTTCCGTCAGTGGTCTTGACCAGTTTGCATTTATAAAGAATGCACAAATGTGTTTATTCGTTAATGTCAGATATGTACTAAGTAAATACATTAGTTCCTGCTCAAGATTAGATTCAACTTTATTGTTATTGCACAGATTACAGGTACTGAGACAACGAAATGCAGTTTAGATTCTAACCAGGAGTGCAAAAAGCAGTAAAGTGAAAAGCAATGTACGCAATCTACAGAATACAATTTAGAATGAATTGAATGATGAATAAACAGTGAGGGGTATGAACAACAGGACACAGGAGTGGTTTAAATAAACTGGGTTTTTTATTTACCCAAAAGTCCACAGAAAACATAATAAATCAATAATTTCTAATAACTAGGCCTATAAAAGAGGTCAACAGAAAATACCTCAAAGAAACATGGCATCAACTTAACACTTAGGTGTTAACTCAACCAACTGACCTGCTACAATGAAAAACCAAGGAACCTATATACAGTAGTGGCTTGGTCAAACCAAGTTGAAACCAAGGGATAATTAATAGTAACAGAAAACACAAAGGACACTGACAAAACCCAAATCCCCCCTTTAAACTTGTTAAGCCCCAAGCCCGTTTTTCAGGTCTCAGGCTCGAAAATGACATTCCCAGAACAAATGACCATATCTTCCCTTCTAAAAGGGTTAAATTAATAATCTTTTTCTCAAAGCAAGGTTACACCTGTGAGTTGGATGTATAAGTGTCAGAATCAATATAGATGTTTTTATTTTAAAGTAAATTCAGATTGAACACAGTAAAAAAATGTAAATGATTGTGTCCGTCCAAAAAAAATAATTACTTATAGTGAAAACCACCATTGAATGATGGGATGGTAGACTAAAAGCTTTAGGAATTCAAACTACAACATATAATAAGTACCCTGTATCAAGATCGATGCAAAACAAGTTAAATTTGACCTTTTTATAGAGATTTAGCACACAAAAAAACACTTCTGGGGTCAGTTAATTTATGTAACCCTAGCCAAAGTTTGACGGTCAGACGTCAGGCCGCTTAGTATAGTGATGGCGAGATGAAGCCATATGAAGCTTTGAAGCTTTCCAGCCAATTGGTTCGCAAAAGGGTTCATCTCATGAGGCTTCATCATGGGCTTCATTTGGTCCAAACCCCCTGTTGGTCAAAGTGTGTAAAACAGGCAGATTGGACATCTCAACAGTGTGCTCGATCTCATACCGAGTTCCCAATGAGTAAAGCCTTAGAATACCTCTAAACAACGAACATTAAATCATATTTTCATGTTAACAATATTGTTTTTATTCCAGTTGAATGATTGTGATTGAAAAGCCTAAGGAGGCTGGTAAACATTGCAAAGAGGAATTTGTATTCCTTAATAATATTCGTAAACTTAACCACGTTGTAGCCTGAGAAAGGCAAAACCATATTAAAGAATACATTTATTAACTACATTATCTCATTTAGCTGTAGCTTTTATAAACAACGTATTGTTCAGTACTTGAACCAGGGACCCTGCGGTCATGAGTCAATTGCTTTCCAGCTGAGCCACAGCACACACACTGAATGTCCCTGACAACACTGGACCATATTTATTCCTGTATTTATTCATTCATGTTTTTATTCCTACATTTATTTATGCTTGTATCTATTTATACTTATGACATGTTCCGACCTCTATATAAGTGAGGGTCTGAGTTCTCTTAATTCCATCGTGTCACCGGGCCCAGGTACAGGAGGGGTAATATGGTTCTTCTTATTATACATCCATGGGTATTATGAGCGTTGTGGTTCAACGGTTCAACCGATCTGAATCGCTTCCTGAAGCAGTCACGTGGTATCGACAGGCAGCGAGGCTTCGTTTGTCATCGATGACGTCACTGGCCCAAAACGATACAAGTCTCGCTACACGCTTCACAAAAAGCTTCAGGGATGACTCGACACACGCTCCGAAGCCTCGGCGCAATACGTAACATCACTACCGCTTAGTGAAAAAGCAAGTTAAGCTAACTGTACTCTGCAAGCTTATCAAAATGTCTTACACGTGTAAGGTTTATAAGTTCAGTACAGGGTCCATTCCTGCATGCATTTGTTTGTATTCAAAGTGTTTTAAAACCCTGTTACTTCCTCCTCCCTTTGTGTGTTTTCCCGCCATCGTCTGCCCCGCCCCTGATTGTTTCCACCTGTTCCCACTCACCTCATGTTTAAATAGTCCTGTCTCTCCCCTGTCCTGTGTCAGTTCGTGTTTGTTCCCACGTGTGGTCGTGCCAGGCCTCAGCAAAGAGAGGATCGTTTACAGTCTTGTCAGGTTTTGTTGTTTTGTTAGTTTATCTTAAGTTCTCTTTTTGTCACGCTTACTTTTTTCCTCCTTGTGAGCGTTTTTTTTGTTATTCCAGTACTTACTCTGTTAAGAGGGATTTTCTGTTCAATGACATTACAAATAACATGTTTGTTACATTCAAGACTGTCTCTGGGTCGTGCATTTGGGTTCTCCAGTTTTTGTCGAGGTTGTGACACCTTTTCAACTACAGCACGTCTCTAAAATAGCTTGGCAGAAGAAATGGCTTCATATTCTTTGTGTTTTGTTATCGCCACTGTTTTAAAAATGAAATCTCCATGTTTTTGGATATTAATATCGATTGTTTTATGGATGAAAATATTTATCATTTAGCACAAGAAAATACATGGTCTTGATACCGTTCAACAATTAAGTTGTTAAATTGTTAAAATGAATTGTTTGCTGTCTCCCTGCAGTTATTGGTGAGCTTTAAAATTGTGTCAAGAATTTCTGGTAATCTGTAAATTACCAGCATGACATGAAGTATACTATAATAAATTGTTTTACAGTTACAATACTAATACTGTAACTTAAAATTATACCGTTAAAGTTTCTATTTTACAATTTAAACACTATTACCGTAAACAAGAATACAGTACTTTTTAAATGGCAGTGTTTTATTTTATAGTTAAAATACTATTACTTTAAACACAAATACAATGCTTGGAAATTACTGTTTTATTTTACAGCTATAACAAAAAATAAAGTAATTCAATATTAGTGTTTCATTTTACAGTTAAAACACTATTACCGTAAACACAAATACAGTACTTGGAAGTTACTGTGTTTCATTTTACAGCTATAATACTACTACTGTAATACCAAATAAAGTAAATGCTATTTACTGTGTTTCATTTTACAGTTAAAACACTATTACCGTAAACACAAATACAGTACTTGGAAGTTTCATTTTACACTGTTACTGTAAATAAAAACTTGTAAATACTGTGATTACCTTTACAGTATTTTACTGGGAACAATTGACAAGTTACTTACTGTAATTCATTTTACAGTATTTAACTGGCAACAATTGACAAGTTACTTACTGTAATTCATTTTACAGTAAGTAACTTGTCAATTGCTGCCAGTTAAATACTGTGAATTTCATGGTATGTTTCTTACAGTGTGTGCATACAGGGCTTTCAGGAACAAAGACTAATGTTTAAATACAAAATAATCGCTGAATCATACCACATGTCGAAATTAGGTTCAGCTTGCCAACTGCAGCAGATGCCATAAAATATGTTGATGTCATTTATAGAATGACAAAGAGCACAAAAGGCTATTAACTAATAGTCCTGGACATACTGTTCTTTGGTGATAGCAACTCATGTTACAAAATAAAATGACTGAAGCAGGAGACAGGCTGCTACCTTTAGCATTTTATTTATAGAAAAAAGGTGTGGTGCAGACAGTTAAGTGTTTTCATAACTGCAGTGCAAAATAATGTTCCTGATACATCTGGGATCCATGTAACTGTGGCTTTAGCATACAATTGTAAATATATCTCCAGTACAGTACATTGCTTTAGAACATGTGTCCTTAAATAGCTACAAGTTATATAATGTGGGGGAGAAAGTCATTTTTACTGGGTGAATGATGGAGATCTTGAATTCTTATTCTCTGTAATTTTCCAGTCCAGCTACACAGATTAGATTCATTTTATGTGCCGTTTTCCTGTTACAAGTTTTTGCCCAAGTGAAAACACGAGACACGAGGACATGTTCTTTTTGGCAGTCAGTTCACTAACACGTAGGCTTGTGTGTTCATAATGTTTACAGTGTTACCGTGTGCCCACACACAAAAATGACCACTGATCAGGATCTGAAGATGGATGGCCAGCCAGCTACGTCCGTCTTTGCTACAAAGGGCACTGATGTAACACCTAAAAAAGACAAAGGAGTTGTCAAGGTATTTATAGTAATTTATTTAAATTGTTTTAAAATTGTCTTTTTGTTGGCACTTAGAAACAAGTATGACTCACATGACATGGTCATGATTTTTCATGGGTTATTCTATATTCTCTGTTAAAAAGGTTTCTCGTTTGAACTTAGAGTTCCTCTTGCTGTCTGCAGGTTGTGAAGCGTCAGGGGCTGGATGAAGAGCGGCCGATGATAGGGGACCGAGTGACCGTCCACTATACTGGGAAGCTGCTCAGCGGGAAGAAGTTTGACTGCAGCCGAGAACGCAAAGAACCTTTTAGTTTTAATGTCGGCAAAGGTAGATTACTTCATGCATTAGTGTTATACCTGATGGGCCGTGGTCTTGTCTCTGACTTAGAGCTATTCTCAATCTATTTATCTCAGTTTTTTAAACCGTCCTAACATGATTTCTTATGATTTCATCACAAATGTCTCAAGTGACATCACAGCATCACTACTAAGAATTTGTAACTAACCTCCTCTAGATTTTTTTTTAAATGTTGAAGTTAAAAGCATCAATCTGGGGGACCTAACCTCCTCTAGATTTTTTTTTAAATGTTGAAGTTAAAAGCATCAATCTGGTGCACTTTGAGAGCAACATTAGGAGATCTATGGATACATCTCTCAACACCCATATGAAACAGAACTGTAAACAGATTTTCTTTTTCTTTATGGGTATTTTACAAATCACTCTCCTCTCTTTGTTTTACTGTCATATAGTATTTTATACCTGTTTACTTTATTCTCTTATTTGTTTTATAACTATAATGATCATTTAAAGATGTGCCTTTACCTCACTGGTTGTAGAAAAAGCTTCTTATATTCGTTAGCATAGCTAGCTAACCAGATGCTAATAACAACAAAGTTATTGACTGTATGATCAGTATGACAGATCGCCACTGGGTTTACAACTAAAGACACAGCCACGCAAAAACTGCAGCATGTGTACGGCTCCTTATGGGTACTGCAATTTTGGGAAGTGCCGGAGCGGAGCGGCGTTCTGGTGCTCTCCGTCAGAACTGCACCCCTGTCAGACGAGACATATACCACGTGATGACACGTTAGGCTTGTGTTGTGTTCAAGGACCCTGACCATGGCCAGGAAAAACAGGCACTCACTTGTTTAATTATTTTGCGGTCTAGATTTCTTAATTTGTTTTATTTTTTGCGTGTGTTTATAAATTACCTCGAGGGCCACACCAAATGGTCTCGCGGGCCGTATACGGCCCGGGGGCCGGAGGTTCCCCACCCCTGGTTTAGAGATTTGAACTTTAAGTTATTGTAATTCAAGAAATTGAGCCTGAGCGGATGAGAAAACCTAGAGTTTTTGGAAAATATGCTTTCTTGCTGATAGCCTACGGTGGCTGAGAAGTGCAAACGAGAATTACAAAGTGTGAAACACTTTAACAAAGCTTGAGACAAATTTACATTTTATAAAACAAAATTACATTAGCAAAACACTTTTACCAAAGAAAAAACTATTTAACATTAACAAAAACAAATTAACAAGATGCGAAACACTTTTACAAAGCTAGAGACAAATTTGCATTTTATAAAACAAATGTACAAGTTCCGAAACACTTTAACATTTCCCGAAACACTTTAACATTTGCCAAACCACTTTAACATTTCCCGAAACTCTTTTGTGTACATAAAATGAGTAAAAACAACAGGATGTAGTTTTACAGAGGGGCTATTTCATAACTATCTCCTGGTTGTAGCTTCATATTTTACAGACAGATAGTCTTTTCATGAAAATGTGGGCAAGAAAAATAATATGCGTATATTTACCGAAATGTAAAACCTTTTTTTTTTTTTAACATTTTTGTCATTATAATTTAAACAATTACAAAATATCAAAGCCTGATTTATGAACCAGCACATCTCTCATATTTGTTATTTGCTTCATCCACTCACAGGTCAGGTCCTTAAGGCCTGGGATATTGGTGTAATGTCCATGCAGAGAGGCGAGGTGTGCACGTTTCTCTGTAAACCAGAGTATGCGTATGGATCTGCAGGAAATCCAGACAAAATTCCTCCCAGTTCCTCTGTGGTGTTTGAGGTAGGTGTGCCACACCAGTGCCTCCAATTTGTGCATTAATTCTGTATCAAACCGGGGGCCTGATCATTTGAAAGCATGTGTCAGTCTGAGATGGAGCAGTCTGCTCATAACATTGTCTATTTGAATCCCTCTCAGTCAAGAAGCCATATACATTCAGTTATCAGGGGGTTATTTGTCTGAGAGGGGATACTCTAAGCTTGACTCTTATAGAGGTATGGAGTGTAAACATCTGTCTGATTACACAGTTTATCTGTATGTTTAATTCAATGGTCATAATTTAATTTTAATAATAATTTATTTAATTTGATTTCCATGACTTGACTCCTACTTGTTTTTTGTCCTCCCACACCTACTGTAACACCATTCACTGCAGCGCTCTCACTTGACATTTGCTTCATATAGCTATTTGTAGAACAATGATTGAATAAATGTTTTCAACAAAAACAGATGGAGCTTCTCAAGTTTGAAGGAGAGGCTCTCACAGGCGATTCCGGCATCATAAGAAGGATAAAGGTCAAAGGAGATGGTTACATGAATCCCAACGATGGAGCAAGTGTTGAAGGTAGGGTCATTATTGTCTTCATGAATATTGTGCCCTATGAAATGCAAACATCAGAGTTTACATGTTGTCATTATTTGTGATCCACAGTGCATCTGGAGGGAAAGTGTGATGGCCGACGATTTGACTGCAGGGACGTCAGTTTTATTGTTGGTGAGGCTGAAGATAAAGGCGTTCCTCTCGGAGTGGACCGAGCCATGGACAAGATGCAGAAGGGAGAGTGCTGTTTACTTTATCTAAAACAAAAGTAAGTTAAAAAAACACCTTTGCTCTCTCAAATGCTTTTTGTAGTGTGTCTTTATGTGGATTGCTTTGGTACCTATAAGTTTCCTGCTTCATTACACCTCTGACGACAAAATACTATAACGTCCTTAGGTAACATTTATTTAATTGTACCTTGATTTCTGTCATTTCCGAATTATTATTATTTTGTATTATTATTTTTTGTCTTTTATGTGGATTTGAAGTCTGTTACCAAATTCAGAAATCATGCAACAATTCTACAATAGCTCTACAATATTAAATAGTAATGTATCTGTCTTTTCAGATACATATGCACTAACATTGTTTTAGGTTTATGCTGTATTGATAGTAAAAAACCTTCATGTGCGGTACTTTTAATCTAGTAATTATAAGGGTTAGTTCTAAAAAAACTCAGACCCGGGCGACAGAAGCTGGCTTTGGGGACGTGGAACGTCACCTCTCTGGGGGGGAAGGAGCCGGAGCTTGTGCGGGAGGTGGAGCATTACCAGTTGGATCTGGTTGGGCTCACCTCTACGCACAGCGTCGGCTCTGGAACCTTACTTCTGGATAGGGGTTGGATTCTATTCTTCTCCGGAGTTGCTCAAGGTGTGAGGCGCCGGGCGGGTGTGGGGATACTCACAAGTCCCCGGTTGGGTGCTTCGTTGTTGGAGTTTACCCCAGTGGACGAGAGGGTCGCCTCCCTACGCCTGCGGGTTATGGTGGGGAAAACTCTGACTGTTGTGTGTGCTTATGCACCCAACAGCAGTTCAGAGTATACGGCCTTCTTGGAGACCCTGGAAAGAGTCCTGTATGGGGCTCCTGAAGGGGACTCTTTAATCTTGCTGGGAGACTTCAACGCACATGTGGGCAATGATGGAGACACTTGGAGGGGCGTGATTGGGAGGAACGGCCCCCCTGATCTGAACCGGAGTGGTGGTTTGTTACTGGACTTCTGTGCTAGTCATGGATTGGCCATAACAAACACCATGTTCGAACATAAGGATGCTCATAAGTGTACGTGGTACCAGAGCAGAAGGTCCATGATCGATTTCGTTATCGTATCATCGGACCTGAGGTCGTATGTTTTGGACACTCGGGTAAAGAGAGGGGCGGAGTTGTCAACTGATCACCATCTGGTGGTGAGTTGGGTCGAGTGGCGGGGGAAGCCTCTGGATAGACCTGGTAAGCCCAAACGTGTAGTTTGGGTGAATTGGGAACGTCTGGAGGAGGCCCAAGTTCAGGAAGCCTTCAACTCACACCTCCGGCGGAGCTTTTCTGGCATTCCTGTGGAGGTTGCGGACATTGAACCAGAGTGGTCGGTGTTCAAAGCCTCTATTGCCGAAGCCGCGGCGGGGAGCTGTGGTCTCAAGGTCCTAGGTGCCTCAAGGGGCGGTAACCCTCGAACCTCCTGGTGGACACCGGTGGTCAGGGAAGCCATCCGACTGAAGAAGGAGGCCTTCAGGGATTTGTTATCCCGGGGGACTCCCGAGGCAGTTGCAAGGTACCGACAGGCCCGAAGGGCAGCAGCCTCATCCGTGGCCGAGGCAAAGCAGCGGGTGTGGGAGAAGTTCGGAGAAGACATGGAGAAGGATTTTCGGGCGGCACCAAAGTTGTTCTGGAAAACTGTCCGACACCTCAGGAGGGGGAAGCAGGGAACCATCCAAGCTGTGTACAGTAAGGATGGGACGTTGTTGACCTCGAACTTGAACTGATGGAGTGTTAGGGCGTTGGAAGGAACACTTTGAGGAACTCCTGAACCCGACAACTCCGCCCTCTATGTTAGAGGCAGAGCTGGAGTATGACGGGGGATCAACACCAATCTCCCGGGGGGAGGTCACTGAGGTCGTCAAACAACTCCACAGTGGCAAAGCCCCGGGGGTGGATGAGATCCGCCCAGAAATGCTGAAGGCTCTGGGTGTTGAGGGACTGTCATGGTTGACACGTCTCATCAACATTGCGTGGAAGTCGGAAACAGTACCGAAGGAGTGGCAAACCGGGGTGGTGGTTCCCCTTGTTAAAAAGGGGGATCAGAGGGTGTGTGCCAATTACAGAGGCATCACACTACTCAGCCTCCCCGGGAAAGTTTACTCTAAGGCAGGGATCACCAACTACATTTGTCCAAGGGCCAAAATGTATCCAATAGACACTATCGCGGGCCAGCGATTTTTATATAGCCCAACATTTTGAAGTTGTTGACCGGACACACACACACACACACACACACACACACACACACACACACACACACACACACACACACACACACACACACACACACACACACACACACACACACACACACTTTTAGAATACTTTTTTTTCCCATAACAGATGGGTATGTTTTGGTGAACAGGAGACACTTGTTTTATTGTTTTAATGGCTTATCAAGAACTCAAACACAACATCTTGGTGTCATTCTGGACAGCTCTCTCTCATCTGCACCCCACATAAAAAACATCACCCGGACTGCATTCTTTGTAATGTCTTAAAACCTTTCCTTGGAATATGTTATGAATTGTAAGGTGTCCTTGGGTGCTTTGAAAGGCGCCCCTAAATAGAATGAATTATCATTATTATTTATTATCTGAAATGATGTAATAACTTGTTCCAGTCACTTGCCATGCATTCAGCAGCAGGCCATTCACTTTGATTTGATCCCGTTATGAAATGTCATCATTTCGACAATAACTAAATGCTACATAAACGTTATCTTGCACATTTTATCTAACCATCTCCGTTTCTAACTTTCAATATATTTTAAAAGAGATCTCTCTCTCTCATCTGCGTGCGGGCGCGGGGCCTCACAGACACGCTGCATCTCTCTCGCTCACAGACATGCTGCAGCGCTGTGCAGTGTGCACACCAGTGGCAGCGCTAGGGGGTGGCTACTTGGGCTCAAGCCCCGGATGTTTTCTGAAAAGCCCCGGATGTTTCACTTAAAAAAGTTTTTTTTTTTTTTTTTTTTAAATGTCTCGGGAGTAATGTGCAGTACCGGAGTCCACCAGAGAGGCAGCCGCTGCGGGACATTAGCCTGCGTACTGCGTAGCCTTCCCTGCCCTGAAGAAGAAGTGATCCTTCCTAGTGCCTGACGAGTTTTAAGCTAATAGCCTATAAAGTTATGGATATTAGAAAGTTATTTTCATCGAAGCAGGCGCCACAAGCTGCTGCAGCAGCAGCAGCAGCCGCAGTATCAGCAGCTGACAACAATGTCATCACCAGCAGTGTCCCGCAGCTCCTGCCTCTCTGTTGGACTCTGTCGCAGCGGGGCTAATGCTGTGGTGCGGAGCGCACAAAACACAACTCTTCACAACGAAGGATCACTTCTTTTTCAAGGCAGGGAAGGTTTCGCAGTACGCAGTCTACTGTCCCGCAGCTGCTGCCTCTCTGTTGGACTCCGATACTGCACACAGTGGTTACTGCTCCGCCAACGCCACAGTCACCCCCGTCGTGCGGGCCGGATGAGAATGTCTGGCGGGCCGGATGTGGCCCGCGGGCCGCCAGTTGGTGGTCACTGCTCTAAGGTAATCGAAAGGAGGTTCAGGCCGATTGTCGAACCTCAGATTGAGAAGGAACAATGCGGATTCCGTCCTGGTCGTGGAACGACGGATCAGCTTTTTACTCTCGCAAGGATCCTGGAGGGGGCCTGGGAGTACGCTTATCCGGTCTACATGTGTTTTGTAGACTTGGAGAAGGCGTATGACCCAGTTCCCAGGGAGTTACTGTGGTAGGTGCTGCAGGAGTATGGGGTGAGGGGGTCTCTACTCAGGGCCATCCAATCTCTGTACTCCCAAAGCGAGAGCTGTGTCCGGGTCCTCGGCAGTAAGTCGGACCCATTTCCGGTGAGGGTTGGCCTCCGCCAGGGCTGCGCTTTGTCACCAATCCTGTTTGTAATATACATGGATCGGATTTCGAGGCGTAGTCATGGGGGAGGGGGTCTGCAGTTCGGTGGACTAAGAATTGCACCACTGCTTTTTGCAGATGATGTGGTTCTGATGGCTTCATCGGTCTGCGACCTTCAGCACTCACTGGATCGGTTCGCCACCGAGTGTGAAGCGGCTGGGATGAGGATCAGCACCTCCAAATCTGAGGCCATGGTTCTCAGCAGGAAACCGGTGGACTGTCCACTCCAAGTAGGGAATGAGTCCTTACCCCAAGTGAAGGAGTTCAAGTATCTCGGGGTCTTGTTCTCGAGTGAGGGAACAATGGAGTGTGAGATGGGCCGGAGAATTGGAGCAGTGGGAGCGGTACTGCAGTCCGCAATACCGCACCGTTGTGACGAAAAGGGAGCTGAGCCAGAAGGTAAAGCTCTCTGTCTACCGGGCCATTTTCGTTCCTACCCTCACCTATGGTCATGAAGGGTGGGTCATGACCGAAAGAACGAGATCGCGGATACAAGCGGCCGAGATGGGCTTTCTCCGCAGGGTGGCTGGTGTCTCCCTTAGGGATAAGGTGAGAAGTTCGGTCATCCGGGAGGGACTCGGTGTTGAGCCGCTCCTCCTTCGCGTCGAAAGGAGCCAGTTGAGGTGGTTCGGGCACCTAGTAAGGATGCCACCTGGGCGCCTCCCTAGGGAGGTGTTCCAGGCACGTCCAGCTGGGAAGAGACCAAGGGGTAGACCTAGGACCAGGTGGAGGGATTATATCTCTTCGCTGGCCTGTGAGCGCCTTGGGATCCCCCAGTCAGAGCTGGTTGATGTCGCCAGGGAAAAGAAAGTTTGGGGCTCTCTGCTGGAACTGCTACCCCCGCGACCCGACCACCACGGATAAGCGGGAGAAGATGGATGGATGGATGGATGGAGTTCTAAAAAAACTTTGAAATCCATCAGTGTTCAAAAGTGAAATCTGTGATTTGGGCTTTCAACAACTCACTGAGGAGTCAGGCATCCAAAAAATGAAGTTCATTTTAGACAAGATGCCACACAGAACATTTTATCTCTATCCTAGACAGAAATAAGGAGTGATTGCAAAAGCAAATTGAACACATTGTACTGCTTAAAATACATAATATCATTCACCTAACCCCACCCACACCAACCTCACCTACTTTAACCTCAGGCAAAAGCAATTCAAAGGAGTGGTGACGTACACTTCAAACTTAGAGTTCATGCCAACAAGTAGTAACATCACATAAACCACCCTGAAATAAGAACATTACATAATAATAACACATTTTGAACAAGTGTCTGGAATATTGCTATGTATTGGCATGTATGGCTGTCATGAGATCAGATTTTCACCAATATAATTCACAATAACAAAAGCATTGTATGGAAAATTTAATTGTGTGTTTGGGGCAAACGAATTACATTCATATGGGTGTGTGCCCTTAGGGTAGGGAGAAAGCAAATGCAAAGTAACATAACTGTTTTAAAAGGCTCTGGATTTGTTACACAATAATATCAAATATGTGTTATTGACATGACATTTTTAGATTGATTCACATGTGCGATTTAACACACTATAGTTGAAATGTTAAAAGCCTTTAGTTTACTGATGTCAGTGTTTGATATCTAGAAGAACTGACAATTTAAAAGTGATTACTTGTTCTATCAATGGGATCAACTTCTGTCATGTTATGTCTTTTTTACACAGGTATGGCTTTGGAAGCGAAGGTAAACCGGAATTAAAAATTGGACCATACAAAGACATCGTATACGAAGTTACCCTCAAAAGCTTTCAAAGGGTGAGTCCTGCTTTCTGCTTTCACAAAAATAAAGGTCACGTTCTACATTAGGTTTAGTTAGTACGTTAGTGTGGTTTTTGTTTCTATGTAAACAAACACACATTGAATAACACTTCGATAAACAAGTTCTTCACAGTCTGTACATCATTTTCCGATGACTTCCTTAAACATGAAAACCTGTATTTTTTTCTCTCCACTTTTTGTGACGTTAATTGTTTTACCAAAAGGCTAAAGAATCCTGGGAAATGGACCTACCTGAAAAGCTGGAGTTGGCTGCTGTAGTTAAGCAAAAAGGCAATCAGTATTTTAAGGTACTGTCTCTATTCTGTTCTTTTGTCTTAACATTTTCTTAACATTTTTTTTTAATCGTTAACATGTTCATAAAATGGTGTCATCTTTCTGTATTAGGTAGGGTTACACCACCAGGCAGTGGCCCAGTACCAGCGCATCGTGTTGTGGCTGGAGATGGAGTGTGGGACTGGGATGGAGCAGCAGAAGAGAATACAGTCCTACATGTTGACAGCACACCTCAACTTAGCGTTGTGTTTCCTGAGGACAAAAGAGTACACACAAGTTGTGGAAAACTGCAACAAGGTGAGCTGGTAGACCCTGATGATACTTATCCATATTTAAAAACCATATAACTTCAATAAATTCACCTTCTGTATTTAAAATGATGACTCTGTGTATGTTATAAGGTGGTTGAGCTGGATGAGCACAATGAGAAGGCTTTGTACCGTCGTGGGGAAGCACGACTCCTCCGTAACGAGTTCAGTCTGGCCATTGAAGATTTCCAGCACGTGTTGCAAGTCAACCCTTCAAATCGAGCAGCTCATACCCAGATTTCCATCTGCCAAAGCAAAATTAAAGAACACCACGAACAGGACAAGAAGACCTATGCCAACATGTTCCAGAAATTTGCAGAACGCGACGCCAAGGTAAACATTCCTCGCCAAATGTCAGCCTGACTCGTGTGTGTGTGTGTGTGTGTGTGTGTGGCTTCAAGTGTATTGAATAGGAACAATAATATTAAATGAAGAGAAGACATTACAACTCAATAATAAAATGTATACTAAGTATAAACAGATGATTTCAAGAATAAGGCCCAATATATCAATATGCTTAGATAAGTACAATTCAAACAAAGAATAGTGGAAGGACAATAAACAATTGTTAGAAAGCAGATGTGTGTTATTATATATTTAGTAAACCATAACAGGGTGATCTATAAGAAAAATGTGATTTGTATGTTAGCCCAGGGAAGTACATGGGGCACATGGCACATTAACTCTTTTTAATAATGGTCAGCCATTTTGGGTATCATGGGGAAGATATCGATGCACCCCTTCAAACCAAAATCTCCTGCAAAATATTTGGCTAATCACAACAGGTATGCCCTCCATCAAATATTTTACAATGAAATAACTGATTTGTAAATGTTTTAAAGGGCTTTAATCCCCTTTTTACAGTATAAACGGCCTGCAGTATCGTCCCCTATTGTACTTTATTCAGTATTATGCTGACCTCTAGTGTTCATTCATGGATTTGTTGATTTTCTCATTTATTTATCCAGATCCAGATGCTCTTCTCAATTCTCAGTAAATACTAAGATAAATAAAGCACCTAACTGAATTTTTCAATTTCCATACTCACAGACTTTGATCCCACAAGGTACACAAGTGATTAGGTCTCTATTATGGTCAAGTGCTTGACCATTAGAGACCTTAAAGGGCACTTTGTAAATCCACATTTCTGCAAACTTTGTCTGATGCAATTGTCCGCAAGTCACAGCTTTGTGACAATTAACAACACTAAATAATTTTTACATTTTTAAACACTACATTACCAAAAACTGAGATGGTTAATAACAAACAGCACATGAGTCATGCAAGCATAGGCTATACAACACTTACTTGCCTTGTTTATTCCTCAAAACATATTTTAATTTTGCTTTAATATACTGTTTTGGCAAAAACAATTGGATTTATTTTTTGACAATTGCCACATTGTCACATTCCTATTTACATAATTCGCAGACTTTGCAGCTTTGTGCACTGAAGACTTACTAGGTGACGTCAGTAATGTCCCTGAAGGGTTTAAGGCCTAATGGGGTTGTAGACTGCAGAAACAATAATTGGGGACATTTCAGAATTCATCAGTTTTATGACTCATTCTTAACAATATATTTAAGACTGCTTATGTATACACAAAAAAAGAACCAAGCAAGCAAGGCAAGCTCTCACATTTGACCTTTGTGTGCTTCATCTCCCCTCAGCAGGTTAGAAAGACGAAAAGGAGGCGGGATGAGTGCGGGAGGAACGGCATGAACGGTGAAGTGGGCCTCAAGCGACGGCGGAGGAGTCAGGACGGTCCATCGGCAAAGTGACTTTTGAAAGGGAGAAAAAAAAGACATGGCTTCCTTTGCTTCTCAAGCCCAGGGAGCAGAGGCAAGAAAAAGGTTGTAAAGAAGCCTCTAATCCAAACATCTTTATCCCAAAATCCAACGTTACCATTCCTGCATATAAAAAATACTTTAAGCAGGGACGTTTGCAAGCCAAACAGCATTTCCCCTGTCACATGGACTGTGTGACTGCCAGGACGAATTAGTACTGCAGAATCAGAGAGTAATTGGTGAACACTTCTAGCCCCCACCTATTATTATTTGAAAAATATAGTAGATTTCTTCAAAAACACAGATGAGTAACATTTTATTTGTCATTCAGACTTCAAACTTTTGCTAGTCTTTAAATGTGCAATATGTACTTTGGATAAAAGGTGTAATAGGTCCTGTTAGCTTGGTGTAGAAAAGCCTGCATTCATTTAATGTTGGGACATTTGTTCTATAATACTACAAATCCAGGACTCAAAAAGATTACCCTCCAAACATGAATCTGCAATAATGCAAGAAATCATGATTGAAAGCTCAAGTTTCTCATCAGCAGATGCAGTGAGTATAATCTGAAAGCACAAACTACAAATACTAAATTACAAATATAAATCTGTAACTCTGGTGTTATGACAAATTCAAAATTATCTTTATTTGGTTTTTAGTAAATGCTGAATTAATGTAATTTGTAACATTGAGCTACTACCTATGAAGCCAAATCAGTACTTGTGTTTAAAGCCTATACGAGGAACCTAAACTGAGAGAGATTATTTCCAGAATTACAATTCAAATTCAGCGCCTTGTTTTGGGCAAATATGAGGCATTGTTTTATGATGGATTAGACTGCTGTCATGCACTAAAGTAATTTATTCATGAATACATGCATGAAAGGTCATTTTTTGTTAAATGTATTTAGTTGTTGTCCATTTAACCGTACAGTACAAACTGTTTTTCATGAGAAGCCAGGCTGGTATTGTTTCAAAACAGTGATGATCTATGGAAGTGAAAACAGATGATAACTTTTTTATGGAGTGATAACATAACATTTCAGTGGCAGCTGCAAAAATCTTAATAAAATAGAAACTGAGAGTTGAAATATACATATAATTAAATGTTTTAGCTCTGGAGCTTTGGTAGATTTGACTGATTGATGACATTCTTCTCCTGTTGCACTCATGTGTTAATCTATCAGCTAATTGCATAAACAAGCATGGCACAATCTTCAACACACATACATTTTCCTTTAACAGCTGGCTGTCATAAATCCGCTTAATTATAATATAATCTTTTTGCGAAGGGAGGCAGTCGATCCTAACATCACCTCCATCCCCGCCTTTTTATTTGACAGGGAAGATGTAATACTATTTGACCCTGTGAGTGTAAGCGGGAGAGAGACACAGTAACTGCAATTAAGCTTTAAAACTGTCAATATTTCAAATCTGGTCATTTGATCAACTTCGCAATGCTGTGTGAATGCTTTTGCCTCAATCCAGGAAACGTTGTCTCTCTATTTCACTGCATCTATTTCATGTTTTTTGTTTTTTTTAAGTGTATGAATGATGGTTGATAGTGGACAGTGTTGCACTTTGGTGACTGTAAAAACCAACACTGTTATCTTTTCATGAAATATCTGGATAAAGTCTTGACGATAATCTAGAGATGTTTTATAAACATTGTTTGGTTCAGAACGAAAACCTTAGCTGTCTTAAATATTTTGTGGGGAAAAAAATCAACAGTGTGTATGTGTGTGTAACTGTGTGTGTGTGTGTTGATATACTGTATATTGTTGTTGCTTATTAGAAAGGTTTCTAAACAGCTTGTTGCTATATGTTTTCAAGTACTGCTGGCTCTAAACATTCAAACATTTTGTACAGTGGAAATGAGCATGAAGTACCTCTTCTAGCAATTATTATTGCATTTAAGATTATACAGAATATTTATCCCCTCATTGTCATCTACAAAAAAATACCCTGGGCTCTTGGAGCTGTATTCTTCATTTTTGATAACTTGCCAATGTCAATTATATTATAGGAATATTTGGAAAAGTTTGACATAAACAAAATGCAGCTAGTTAACTGCCGCACTGCCGATTGAGATTGGTTTTATTAGAAACTGTTCTACTAAATGTTTACATATATTCAAAAGATCTTCATCCTGTAAAGCAAGATTTGATCAATGTTTTAAACCGGCATTTATGCAATGAAATATTTTCAGACAAAAACTAAGGTACCTTTGTTCATGTCTTCTTTGTATATATTTTTTATTTTTTTGCACTTTAAAAGCATTTAATAAATCTAAGAGTTGCATTAATGAAACATGTCATTCTTCAATTGAGAAGCCAATATTTTATTGATAGTTGACATGAACTTGTTTGCAAAGTTTTTTCATTTACACGTTCAGCAGTTACAGAGCAACAATATTGTTCATTTGGGGTCGTGTTCACCTGATGTTTTCTGTTTTAACTCTATTTTTGGTGAAATATGGTCTTTACCTGCTGAATACTCCATCATACTCACCATAGTAGAGCATTTTCTGATACCAGTGCGTTCAGACTAAAACAGAACAATGTAAATGTGTGGTCCAAATAGCTAAAATATGCGCTGAAACTTGTTAATAACCGAGGAGGCCTGCAGATTCCGGTTATTCTTCGTAAGCTCATGACTACGAGCGTGTTTCGTAACATAGTCGGTCTTTTATTTTTATACTAACATTGATAATAGCTCCTTTGATGTGTCTTTCTTCGGGGTCAAAATTAGTAATTCCCCACAGGTTAAAAGTTCATTCTTTACAATTTTACCACAATGTTATTTGATCAATTTGCTCACTTGTCATAGTTAATTTTTCTAAACTACAAAAGAGCCTCTTCCTTATGCAAATCCATTAGTTAATGAGACATTATTATCAGATAACGTTGAAATAATTTAAAGTATGGCACATTGTTTATTATGATATATAAAATAAAGACATTACAGTATGCATCAGTAATATGAATCAAACAAGCACAATTTTCTTTTCATAAATCTTGTGAAAACAGACGCAAAAAACGCCGAACAAAATAGTTTTTGATCCTTAAATGTAAGTAATGTCATTTTATAGCATTTACATGTTACACAAAGGGCTATTGCCACCAATTTTAATGCCAATGATACAAAAGAACAATATACAAAATGATATGAATGCTACCTGCACCTTCTGTACAAAAATGTAAAGTTGAGACTTCAGTAAAAATATAATCGAAATAGCTCTGTTAAAAATATACTCTTTGTGGCTCTGCCAACAGGCTTTCTCAGTGTTGTTCTTTATCAATTGGTATTCCATTGTCACACCCAACTCGAGTTTGTTTGTTTTCACTAAACACTAACTTGTGCTGAATTGTTTCCTTCCTGTGTGTGCATTACATGCACATTATTATGGTGACAGTTATTCTAATGTCAGACACACTTAAAGGTGGGGTAGGTAATGCACTAGAATTTGAAAATACACAGCGGAAAAAATCTGCCACTTCCTTACAGAGCCCCTCCTCCAACACACACGAACGCGCACATGACCAATGAGGGCACGAGATAAGTTTGTGCACAGATGGAAGGCTGACAGGCAGGTAGGCCATCCAATTACTAAAATCATTGGTCGTGCTTTTTACAGTACTACGGCTTCCACAGATGACATTTTTCTATGGATTTTTTGTCAAAGCACTTCAGATATTCATTGCTATCGGCATGTTAAGAGCATTCCATGGAATATAACAAGTGTATCTCGAGCCGGTTTCTCAAACTTACCTACCCCACCTTTAAGAGCATTCCATGGATGGAATATAACAAAAAGTGTATCTCGAGCCGGTTTCTCAAACTTACCTATACCCCACCTTTAAGTTAAACTTAAGGTGCAGGCAATGTCCAAAGTTTTAATCGGACAATAAGTGCTGGACAACCGTTCCTCTTTCATATTACTGCTTCATGTAGCTATATCCACAATTTGAAATTAAATTTCACCTACAAGTGACTTAAGTGTTGAAACTGTATGGCTTATTTGGCAAGTGTTTATCATGGCTAATTTACTCTAGAAGTTGTACAACCTGGATAAAACAAAACACAAATTTTCTCAACACTTTTTCTTTACAAAAGTAACAGTTTAAAATACAAGTGTGAATGCAAGCATGCTGTTTCTTTATGAAAAGCAGGTTTTAAGGTTCACTTGATGAAAGAGCTGACACAACTAAAAGATACATTAATTGATCAACAAAACACTATTACATGATGCATTGTGAGGATATTAAGTTTTTCACGGTTACCTCATATTCTGGGAAGTTTTAATGTGCATTTGTCGCTGAAAAATGTAAGTCAAATCTAACAGATTAAATGATTAGGAAAGTAATCAGTGGTTTCAGCTCGCAGCGACAGGAGTTTTCTGAATAGGTTTGAGGCTTTGTTTGTTACTATTTCACATTGGCTATTTAGAACATATTTCAAAATGTTTTGATGGACTATTAAGTATTTTGAATATGTTTTCTTGAAGATCATGATATGTGGCTAAAAGCAGATGTTCCCTTTACAGTTAGGTGGACATTTTATCTTTACACTATTTCTGTCAGAATTCAAACCCTCAAATGATTATTACAGTTATTTAAATGACAGAAAAGCATTGTTTTTTTGTTAATGGATAATTTGTATGCCTTATAAACGTATGCAAACAAAGATTGTACTGGTCGCAACCAGTATGCTTTAGCAACCAAGGACAGGGGGGTACGAGTTTTAACATAAACACTTGGGGACCACAGCTGTAAAAGGAGTCAGAGCACTGGCTTGAGGGCATGATTATCTATGACTCATGATGTTCGGAAAATCTGAAGCAGCTCCAGTTTGCTCATTGTCACTAGGACACTACGCCGTCAGATGAGGTCAACTTGACCATTTCAAGTCCTTTCTTCCCTGATCTGTTCAATGTCAGGTCTTCAGTTGGAGTACATAAGAAAGAGAACCTCTAAAAAAGAAGAATATAGGTTTTAATAAATACAAATAAAATAACATGTTTATTAAATATTTAACTATTATACAAACAGCTTACCTGTCGCAGTGTACCAGGAGTAGTGCACATCCTATACAACATAATTAGAGGAACCATGAGTGTGGAGGAGAGAGTAAACCACCAGCCGAGAGCATATCCCCACCAAGGATACTCAATAGTGTTGTTGAACTTCAGAGGAGTGTATTTGATCAAGGAGAAAACAAACGTTCCCTGAAAATAGTCATGGAGAAGTCAGTTAAAGTCTGGGGTTAGACAATGAACACAATTATGTTGCAATGTTCCCCAAATCTCCCAAGCTACAATAGACTAAACGTTTTTTATTTGTATTATTTTATTTATTCTACTAATTCATCCAAAAAAGAAAAAAGTATAATTCATACACACAAAGATAAACAAAATTAGTAGAAGCGGGAGGGCTGAAGCATAGCTTATGGGAAGTAGCCCTCCCGTGAATCATCCTAATATAAAATAGGCATTATTGCGTCAAAAACGTATAGAAATTAAGGAGTACAAAGAAATAAAGAAAAACTAGGAAAAAATAAATTGAAGTTAGGGAACAAATAAATAAATGCATATATATATATATATGAAAACTAGATATAGGGTCATTTTCTGCACATGTCAATAGCAGTTGACTATCTTTTTTGAAAAGGAAAATACTATATATAAAAATATATATGTACACATGTACTTGGCAAATAAATAATAATATATGCATGTAAACATTGTGGACACTTATTTTCAAGTGACTTTTTTACATTCATATGTTCACACACACACAATATACATAAGCACCATGTTCAGGTGTATAAGTACACAAATGCACTCATACACCAATACAAATATTACAAGGCAACCCAGCTAGCGGGGAACGTTCTCACAACTTTGGCTAACGTTACCTATTGGTTCTAATAAGGTTTTAAAGAAACGTTTTAATCTGATGTTCAAAGAACCTTTTTAGGATGTTTATTTTTTCAAATAATGTTCCTATAAGGTTTAAGGTTAACTAAGACATAACGTTTTAACTGCAACATTCAGAGGATGTTTTGAGGATGTTATTGAGGCCTGAGATGACAGAAAGTTTATTTATAAAATGTTCCTTCAATGTGATATGTTAACAAAGGTGGAACGTTTTGCCTGCAACATTCTAAGGATGTGTTTTGGACGTTGTTGGGTAACACATTAAACATGTTCTTTATAAAACGCTCCCTCAATGTTACATGATAACCAAAGAACATTTTGAAAGCAACATTTGGATAATGTTTTCAGGAGGTTATTATTTTTTTATAAAATGTTCCTGTGTTGCGAAATATTAACAGGGGCATGGTCAACGTCAGATTTATTTGTAGTGCGCTTTAAAAAACAAACTTGCTGCATTTGTTTGAAAAGGATGTTTAAAAGAAATCTGATGTCACCACATTTTCGTTTTTAGAAAAAAATAAGCGCGTAATTCATGATATTGCACATTTGCGTAGGCATGTCTGAGTTCCCAGCTAGACATCGTTGGTTCTAAAAACATTCTGAGAATGTTACCATTCATTGTTCTAGGAATGGTTTCATCAAGAAGTTTTATTTTGGTTCCTAGAATGTACTTCTGAAAGGTAGGATAACGTTCTCTAAAAACATTCTTAAAATGTTTGGTGATAACATTGTTCGAACATTATACCCCAAGTGTTTTTGTTGTTTATGCAAATATCTCTATGGTCATATGGATCAAATAACACTTAGAAAACCAAAGACAGACATATAGAAGAATGGACCGACTATCACTGCCCGTCCCTGAAACCCCTGTTAGTGGGTTAGTGCCCCCCCCCCCCACCTGCCTGCTGGTCTGCTCTACACGGCTGGGAGCAATCACCAATCAACCACACCTGCAACCTGCTCATCAGCCACACTATGAAAGCCTGCAGCCTGCACTCATTCCCTGCCGGATTGTTGCGGGCCGCTCTACCTTTTTACCAGCATATTCTTTGACAACTTTGCCTGCTTTTGCCTCACACTCATTTTTGTGTCTCTCCCAAGAGGAATCCAAGGCCTTCCACACTCCCAAGACCAGCCAGGCCTCTCTACCCACCATGGAACAACTGTTTCCCACTGCTGCCATAACCAACCTCCACTCCCAGCTCCCCTTTTCTAATAAACAAATGTTACTTTCACCAACTGATTCCGAGTCATCCTTTTACATGTGTTAATAGTCAAATTCCAATAGTTAAGTAAACTATCATAATCATCCTAATGACCACAGTGGTCAGTCCACTTACCCAGGAATTTTGAGTTGAACAATATTATGTCTTTATGTTCTAATAATGTAAACATATTTTAGTAAATTGTTACCACAGAACATTTACATACTTTTTTTTAACATAAACCATGTTATCCTTCTCTAAAATAACATTCTGGCAACATAAAAAATCTAACTTGCAGCTGAAAATGTTTTAAGAACAGTAGGGCATAATGTTCTAACAATGTTATCACCAAACATTTTAAGAATGTTTTTAGAGGACGTTATCCTACCTTTCAGAAGAACGTTCTGGGAACCAAACAAAAACTTCCCGCTGAAAACCTTCCTAGAACAATGACTAACATTCTCAGAATGCTTTTAGAACCAAAAATGTCTAGTTGGGAACTTCCAGGGCGGAAATAATAATTCAATGCATAACGATGAAAGGAAATAAGAAGGAACAAATAAATAAAAAGTAATGTAAACAATATTACATAAATAAACAAACTGAGAAGTTATTATTTAAAAAAAAAAAATTGATGTTATATATTATATATATATATAAAGTGAAATTATAGTCCTGAAATAAGTCACTTGTTATATCAGCCAAAACCTCAAATGAATAAAATGTTTTCCAACAATAGAAGTTTCGTTTAACCAGTGATGAGCATCAAACCCCAATTGACCGCTAAATCCCCCCGATAACATGAATAATGGATGTCAAGCTTTGGCTTTCACCACATGTGGAAGGGGTGAATATAAATTGATATGGAGATGTTTTTTTGTTGTCTATCTTGAACCAAAAACAAAAGAGAAAAGGGTGGAATAGATTAAACACTGTGTTTATTAATTGATAGCAGATCCACAGTATGGCAATTCCCCTCTAAGTCCTGGATGTCCTTGAACACGTTACGTTCTGTTTAAATGTTAAAGTGAAGATCTCTACGAACTTCATTATGTTCTTTTCCCTACGGTAAATTGCAGGTACAATTTGATCTCACTTTGAAAATATTCGCCACTTGTGATATTTCACAGGGTTGTCACCATAAATGCGATAGGCAGTGCGCTACAAGTATGATAAATATGTTTCTGCCATGGTTTCAATCTAATTGAGAACTATCAAACAATCAATGAGTTTGGTGGTAGCGTGGGATCATGGAAATTTGTCTTGGCAGTCATGTTCTCACTCTCGTCAGGATTCCTTCAAGTCCTACTGGCATAGCTTAACTATGTCGGCAGCCAGGCTTAGCTAAAGATTAATCAGCATATCATTTGAATGAGTAAACTTTAACTGACTCACCATGCATATTACTGGAGTGACATACTTCAAACAATACTTTATCAGGGATGTTGGCTTGTAGCCGATCATGTCCTCTATGTTTTCGTAAAACCGGTCTGCACCTGTAAATAGATTGAAACGCTTCAATAAGGGAATTGAACATTGCACTGAAGAAACCTCACAGACGCTTTTTGTTTATTAACTCACCGTATATCCATCCGATACAGAAAGACTGCAGACTGGCAAAGAGAAGGAGAGTCATCCCACTGCAGGCATAGTAGTCAAACAGCTGGAAGATGTACAGCCCACCCTGTGTGTGAGACATCAGAGTTGTTGTGTTAGGGTCTTTCAACATGAGAACAAAGGTTATTGTTAAAGAAGTGGCTTGACATTTTAATAGGATCTTACTTCTGTGATCATCACTAGGCCGACGAAGAAGCTAAAAACACTGATGGCAAGGAGAAGAAGTTTACGTCGATGGCCAACGTGGAAGAAGGAAGGGTTTGTGTCAGAAATCGCTGTAACGATGGCTTCCAGTCCAACAAACTGAAACACAGAGCCCACAGTTACGCACTAACTCTACATACCGTTAGCATTTTGAGGGCACATCTCTTTCAATACAGCACAATCCTCTGAACAGATAGTTTTATTATAATGATTAATGTGATATATTTTGTAATCTGGATTCCTCTGGATCTGGTTCTGCAGCGAAACACACATAGTGAGTAAGTATTGATATACACAAGCCAACATTTCCTCTCATATTGGTAAGTGCAGGAGTTCATAAATTTACATTTTTTATTTATTTATCTGCATCTGAACCCTCAACCTAAATTCAGATCAAGACATTACGACTTATTCCTCACCCTATTGAAATTCATTGAAACAAGTTCAGTGGCCATTTGATACTGGCTTGTACCACCTGTTAGCTTGTTTTTTAGGTATCCTGCGAACCCACAGATATTCAAACATGCAAAAAAAACAGCAGCGAAAACATGACTAGAGGAAATAAATGGATCTATTTTTAATTGTCAGACAACCGCAGAACTTTAACAAAGGGCAAGAGATCATAAAGCCAAATCCCCTACAAGTTCATTAAGACTATTATGCAATCTATGTGTAATAAAATAAAACATGTATATATTTTAACCAGGTGAACAAAAGACCAATATTTTGTAATTGTTTTGGATGATTATTCAAAAATATAACATCTCTAAATAATATATATCTACTGCATATTCATGTATTAAAGAGAGAAACAAAATGTCTGATTCTTGTTCTCTCAGTGCTATGGAAGGGTCTGCTTACTTCACTGTCCAGTCCCAGTAGGATGATCATTACAAAAAATAAAATCGCCCAGAGCTGAGGAAAAGGCATCATGGCGACCGCTCGAGGATAGGCAATGAACGCCAAGCCAGGACCTGCCGTAAGAATGTGATGGTCAAAATAAATAATGGATTTTTTTCTGCTGTGGAGTCAAATTAAAATTTCACATTTATGAAATGAGGAGCATTTTGTGCTATTGCTGATCTAAACCTACAATGCTATTCAATTAATTTTCTTATTGTCTGATTAATAACAGTTTTCTACATTCTCACCTGACTCTGCCACTGTTGATATGTCTGTGTTCTGCTCATATGCCATGAATCCAAGTGCAGAGAAGATGGCAAAACCAGCTACAAAACTGGTCCCACTGTTTAGAAAGCACAAGTACACACAGTCCCTAAAAACAAAAAGACACAAATATATTTAAAACTCCATTACTCTGTATTAGGGCTGCACGATATATCGTGTCGTGACAATAATCGCGATATGCGCATGCGCAATTTTTGTAATATTTAAAAAAAATTGTCTTATTATTTATTTAAATTTCTTTTTTTTAGGACTTGCGATATTAAGTAGGCAAATTAACTCAAACACGTCATGTTACAATTATTTTGCTGCTTGCTACAAAAGGAAAACTTGCGCGGCTCTCATGTCAGGGGTACTTGAGTGAGTGACATGCAGGCTCTGCATGCACAGCAAACCACCAATCACAATCAAATCTCCAGAGCAAACGGACCCCGTGATTAAAGGTAAAAACACTGAATAAAGTAGTTTCATGTGTTCCTCCAGGGCAGTTCGAAGCTAGCTCAGCTTGTTGCTCTGATAACTTAAGATCCAGAAGTCCGTGACTAAAATCCTTTAAATTCATCCGGTTAAATATAGTTAAAAAAATACCAATTGTATAGCATTAAAGTTCAAGAAAGGATGGTTTGCGGAAAAGAAAACGGTCTTTTCTTCAATTCCTGTATGTTTTCATATCGCAATATATATCGCAGGGGGAAAAAAAATCGCGATGTCAGTTTTTTCCAATATCGTGCAGCCCTACTATGTATTAACATATAACACGGTCACTCATCACATCCTAAACTGGCCTAAGAGGGCTTGGTAAAGGTATGGCATGGCTCCGTAACTCTGAGAAGCATTTTTTAAGAAACTTCACTTCACACTCTGTGCATGCCCGGCGCCGTGGGAGGGCCAGGCCCTCCCATTTGACATTCTTGTCCTCCCCCAATAAACACGATTTTTATTATTTATAAAAATTAAAAAATATATATATATTTTGTTGTTGTTATAAATAAACTGTGAACTTTTATGCTACGATGTATGTGATGTCAGATAGTAACTAACACAAAAAAATCGCAGGCTACGTCAAATAAATTCATGTGTCTGTTGTGATTTGTGATTCGTCCACATTTAGACCAATCACAGCGTCACACTCTGCCGCCTATTCTGGATTTGCTTATTGTTTATTGTGCATTCTGTAGACTCCCATTTCTGTTTGAATTACACAATGGACATCAGAAATTGGCTTAAAATGTCTAAGGATTTATTAAAACGAAATAGCGATGAAAGAACTGCAGCCGATGGTGCTGCTGGCGACCCTGCACCTGCCGTTGCAGCAGCACGCCTTAATGTCACAAGCTTGACCTCGGCAAACCCCGGGGCTGAGCCTTGACTCATCAAGGCGGCCGCCACTAACGCTGTCCTCCGAGGCACAGCTCCTTGTGCCCCTACCATCACCACCTGCGTTGCCACACCGTGTACCACACCCGCCAGCATCCTCCTCCTGCTCCGTGCCGGTGCCTCCACTACAGACGCTACCTTGCAGCACACCTTGCAGCACATCAACAGGTGCTATTGGGCCAGCAACCGCTCAAAGACCAACAGCCCCAGATGATCTTGGGGTTAATAAACCCAACCAGGTGAAACTGGATCGTTATCCAGGGAGATTGTTTTCAGGAAAGAAGCGCACTTTTGCCAATGCATGCTACAACAACAGACCATGGCTTGAATATTCGTTAAAAGCAGACGCAGCCTTTTGTTTCCCCTGTAGACAGTTTAAAGTAAATACGTCTTCATCTGATGCGGCTTTTACTGTCAAAGGTTTTTGCGACTGGAAACACGCATTACAGACTGATAAAGGACTGCTAAGACAGGCCGCATCAAAAGAACACATTTCATGTGAGAGTTTGTGGAGAGAGAGACAGATACGCGAGGAAACAAATAAGGAAATTAGTACAGATCAGCTGGCACAGAGCCATTATTACGTGTCAGCTGTCGTTGATATTATAGCTTTTTTAGCTGTCAACCAACTCCCTCTCAGAGGTGACCACGATTCACTCCACAGCATGTCCGAGTCAGGCAGTGGGCTCTTCCTATCGCTGTTTGAGTATACGCTGCACAAAGCTGCAGAGTTGGCCAAAAATAATGGACAGCATTCTCCACACAGCAATATACACCTCTCACGACATGCAAAATGCCATAATAGAGCTAACAGCAGTTCATCGTCTCCGTCTCTACTATTTCTCTCCGAGTGCAACGATGAGGAAGCTGCCATCCTTAACCAGTGTGCCTTGCTCGTGATTTACCAGTGTTTGTGCTGCCACGCACACAATGTTTCAAAAGTGGTTTCTATGTTGCCCTTTATTTGTGTATGTATTTGCGATAAGTGTGCGTCTTTGCGCAATGCTGTTGGCCTTGCTGTTTGATATATATATTGTGCCGCAGGCCCGCAGCACGTGACAGTGTTGTGTGCCCTCCCATGAAAATCATATGCCCTCCCTTTAGATTTGTTCTGGTGCCGGGTCTGACTGTGTTTCCTTTGTGTAAACTACTCCAAAATGTGCAGCCTAAAATGGGCATTAGAGATGTTCTGGCAAACGTCTCAAAACGTCTTGTATATCTCCAGAGACCGTTGTGCTATTGAAATCACTGGCACTACTGAAGCTGCTGCCTGGGCAACTTAGTGTTAGACGTTTTCTTTATTTCGGTGGGAATCAACAGTACCCACACTGGAAAAACACACTAAATACATTTTATTTAACTTACTTGTAACAATTGTTGTCATACTTGTTATAACTGCCAAGCGCAGTAAGACACCCAATGCAAATAGCATAGGAATAAAATATTTGTGTGCCAGCATCCATCCACACCTGAAAGACAAAAAAAGGACACGTTGACATCTACAATAAATTACATATGAAAGGCAGTTACTGTTTCTGAGAATCCACTGTATGCTGAACACTTTGTTTTGCTAATCTTTTACACTGCTGACGACTTATGTGACATCAGAAAAGCAATCATCTGCCAAAACAGTTACATTGGAACTTGTGATGCCATTTAAAAAAGTGTATAATTAACGAATCCGTTCAAACTCCCAAACTCGGATTACCCTTCTCTTTTGCATGTGTATTCAAATAAATTCATATATACCTATGTTTTTCTCATTAAGTTGAATGCAATAATAGGATGAAACAAAAAATAAGCTTCTCCTGGTTCTCAGCAGGAAACCGATGGACTGTCCACTCCAAGTAGGGAATGAGTCCTTACCCCAAGTGAAGGAGTTCAAGTATCTCGGGGTCTTGTTCTCGAGTGAGGGAACAATGGAGCATGAGATGGGCCGGAGAATCGGAGCAGCGGGAGCGGTACTGCAGTCGCTTTACCGCACCGTTGTGACGAAAAGGGAGCTGAGCCAGAAGGCAAAGCTCTATGTCTACCGGGCCATTTTCGTTCCTACCCTCACCTATGGTCATGAAGGATGGGTCATGACCGAAAGAACGAGATCGCGGATACAAGCAGCCGAGATGGGTTTTCTCCGCAGGGTGGCTGGTGTCTCCCTTAGGGATAAGGTGAGAAGTTCGGTCATCCGGGAGGGACTCGGAGTTGAGCCGCTCCTCCTTCGCGTTGAAAGGAGCCAGTTGAGGTGGTTCGGGCACCTAGTAAGGATGCCACCTGGGCGCCTCCCTAGGGAGGTGTTCCAGGCACGTCCAGCTGGGAAGAGACCAAGGGGTAGACCTAGGACCAGGTGGAGGGATTATATCTCTTCGCTGGCCTGGGAGCGCCTTGGGATCCCCCAGTCAGAGCTAGTTGATGTGGCCAGGGAAAAGAAAGTTTGGGGTTCTGTTACAGCCGCTGCTTTCCTGGTGCTATTAATTCTGTTGTGCGTGTGTGTGTGTATGCAAATGAGCTGTAAGGTTTCCTCGATGCCCCGCCCTCGCACCGTCCGAAGAGGTGATTGGACTGACGTCATCCAATCCCTGCCTGCTTCCGGCACATCTTCCGGGGGAGGGGTACAAAGGCCGGGGACGAAGATCATTCTGGAGGCTCTGTGTTGTTAGACCGATGCCTCTAGCCTCTTGCTATGCTTACTCATTGTACTCGTTAATACTGTGAAATCCTCTGTGCTTAGTTATACTGCTTAGCAGGGTGTTCAGTAGTGTTCTGTGTTTAGTGTTGTGTGGGTAAAGAAGACCCAGGTTAGCTCAGCGGTTAGCGCCTGTCGGTTTAGCAGCAGCTGTGTTTTTATGCAGCCTTTTCATTTGACTTGTACCACGTTTAACGTGATGTTTTGTTTTCCCGTTTGGGTAATACTTATTACGCTGGATAAGCTGTAAAACTCTCTTTTGGAGTTCTCTTTTTGTTGATTGTTAGACAATCCGTTTGGCATTTTTGTTTGTTTCAGGCTGCCTGCCTGTCATTTGTTTCATCCTTTTGTAATAAAGCCACTTATAATTATTACCAATCCCATTCTGGTTTTGTTGCTTCCCTTTGGTTTCCCTAGCCCAGTAGGGAACGTAACAGGCTCTCTGCTGGAACTGCTACCCCCGCGACCCGACCACGGATAAGCGGGAGAAGATGGATGGATGGAAAAAAGAAGCTTCACACTTTGCTTTAGTTTTCTGATTTTATCTCCGAAATATCTTAATTTTCATGAATGCTTGTTCAGATAATGTGTGTTTGTAAGGATAGGATCACCCGTAGATTAACAAGAGCCACATATCCTCCAAACAAAGAAGTGGTGAAGCGTGTTCATACCTGTGGATCGCTGAGGCGGGATGGATCTGGGTAGAGGTAGAACTTGATCCCATTTATGGCCCCTGGCAACGTAAGTCCACGCACAAGCAGTACCACCAGCATCAGGTATGGAAATGTGGCAGTAAGATACACTACCTGTGGAAAAGTGAAAGTTAGTTTGTGGCTTTTAGGCAATGTCAAAATATGAAAGCCATTTACAAAACAGGTGTGTGGTCTGGGCTAATGTGCAACATGACGGACTCCGTGACATACTGTAGGTCCCCTGTGTAGATATGAAGCGCTCATTTAGGATCCATGCTATTGTTGACGGACATATATTTTGAGTCCCAAATAGTCCGAAAAATAGAGTGATTAAATGTGACATTTTGATTGTGGAAAATAGTTATTTAATATTAAATGTCTTATACATAAACGTAATCCACCCAACCAATCAAGGGATCATCCACTCATCATTCAGAGAATCGATGACAGAGCAGTTTCAATTGCGAAAGATAATCTTTGGCAAATTTCTTTGTAGTCATCTCCTCACTCTAGTATACCTCTTTTCCATTTTGATTTACTTGTTGTTCCGGGAAACATTTATGTTCAATCATTAACTTCTTAAGAGCACATCATGTTGTCAATATTTGTGTAATATGAAATGGTAGTGAAAGCGGCAAAGTATCCGGAAAAGTGGTATGATTGCACTTCCTGTAAAGAGGATAATTTGATCTAATGCATTGTCGTTAAACAGTTAAATAGTTGATGGTACTTTACATACAACATACAAAATGCTCAGTTCTTTGACATACCTTCCCAGTTGACTTTACTCCTTTCCAGACACAAAAGTAACAGATGATCCAGGACAACAGAAGACACAGAGCCAGCTCCCATCGTATGCTGCCTAACTCATGGACACTTCCTGTGATATTCAAAACTCTCTTCCTGCAAATAAAATGTTCAGTTGTAATTCAGAAACGTCAAGATGTTATTGCCATATTTGGATTTTGTTTTCTTACTCACTCCCAAAACTCTCTCACTGGTGATGTAGAATTTGCAGCTACAGTCCAGTTCAAATAATCATCCTTTCGATCAAACTCCACACAGGTCTCTGTTGCAAATACAAACATCATCAAATGCTGCCTTGGTCAAAACCGTGGAATGGTAGACTTTTCCATATAGCCTAGTCTATCAATGAAGTAAATACATGTACTAGACAGGTATGACCATTCAACACTATTTGTGGTCCTGAAGAAGACATTTTTCTATGTTTCTAGTTTGGAAGCCAATCATGGTCCTGTGCGTAATTTACAGTGTAATAAGAAAATGTAAAGCTCCAGAACTCACTTAATGAGTATGGACTTTTCAGGGAAGTAAAGGATGTCTTGTGTAAGTGAAACATTTAAAAATAAACATTTTCCATGAGAGACCTGTCTGGTAGATACTTACTTACAAGTACTTAAGATTACATATATGTAACATAACGTGAATTGTATCACAAAGCCAGTCAGAGTTAAACTGGCACCTCAAGATTTAAAATGTTTCCAGTAGCTGACATTTAAACTTCAGATCCAAAACCTGTTGCTACAATGAGCCACAAATCAGATTAATCTCTCTAGAAAACAAAAGCAAGACACTAAACACAATAAACAGTGGAATAATCAGCAATTATTTTACTAAAGATCCATCATAATCCAGTTATTTGTTTAATTCAATGCATTCTCTTCAGTCAGATCACATACCAGCACATACCTGTGTTCCAGCTGTTTCTGCAACTGGCCCAGGGAAGCTCAGAGTTGAAAGAGGAGAAGAGATAGAAGAAAGCCCAGGCCAATATGATGATGTAATAGATGCTGGAGTATAAAACAACCACCTGATGGCCAATGCCCATACCTGCCATACACAAACAAAAAGCACAACAACAAATAGATAAACAAACAAACAAACAAACAGAAAGATAAACAGCAAAGGTCTTTAAGTCACACGCTCAATTCTTGAAGGTAGGTAACGTTAAGACAAGACTACTTTCAAAAATGATACACAAACAAATTATAAAGCGTAAAGATCATTTTAATTTCAATACAAAGAAATCCAATTTATAACATAATATGAAATTATACTTATTCAAATATATAAAATAATGGAATGAAAAATTTAAAATATTGCAAATATATTACTGTTAATACAGTACATTTACAATAAACTACACATTTTACAGTGATTAACTCACATTTAAAAAATATATAAACCAACAAACAAGATTAATACAGATTAATTAAATATTCTAATATTGTAATTTAAGGGTCACAGTCATAATGGGATATATCAATGATTATATTGCCAACGGACACAATGTTATTCCAGAGAACATTCAGTGACGTAAAAGTTGTTTCTACTGTTGTAGATTTGCTAAAGATGTGTGTACTTGACGGCTTTCTTACATAAGATAGATACATATCAACTTTTATAACTTGTCCCTCTTCATGTAATAGCTCACAAGAAGCAATAATTAACTGACAAATGCCAGTAACAACTTTCCTGTGTAATCACTGAAGAGTCCTTTGCCAGGAATCTGTCATTCTTTAATGTCCAGGCTCTTGTCTTAGAGTGTTTTCCTTTAACTAACACGTCACATCGTTGTGATCACATGATTTTTAGAAATAGTGTGAGCACACCAAAGAAAATGTGCAAAACACAACATGTGATAGAATGTACAGTAAGAATGTACACTCCGGGCTTCGCGTCGGACCGAACCACGCCCCTTAGCTGTGATACAATGAGCATATACTACGGCCTGAAGTGAGCTATTGCTTTTATAAAACGGTTACCAAGTGTGGCAATATGAAAGAAAAATACACACTCTAATTTAAATAGTTTTTATTAGTAAATAATGATAAAATGAAATAAAATAGTCCCCCCGTTGCCTTCTGCACGAAACATAGTGCGAGGTGGTTGCTATGCAACAACACTAACAGCTAGCGAACATGACAGAGAGCGTTGATCCATTATTTGGCTATTTATTTACATTAATTTGTATGTTGCCGTATATTGTGCACCCACTGGCACAGCCCCACCTAGTGTCAGCAGAAAGTATTAAAAATAATGATTACAAAAAAATGGAAAAAATAAATTAAAAAATATATAAAATATATTTTAAGATCATGTTTAATAATCTGATTCGTCTGTACATTGCTGTTTTAGTCTGTGTTCTTCTAATTAGTGTCTACAGTGTGTGCCTATTGAGCTGTTTAGAGCCATGTGGGACAAAACACGATCTTGCCCCTCCCTCTCAGTGAACGGTGACTGTAAAAACTACACTGCGCATGCTCAGAATATTTTCCTATTTAATGTGTGTGGCAAACAAATAATGACCATAGGGGCATAGAGCTGCCATCCCCACCATACGTCATCTCACATAATTCAGAGCTGATTGGCTGTAAGTACGTGTGCCGCGAAAAGTATGGTGTGTGAAGAGGAGACGAGAGAGCTGCAGTGACGCATCCTAAAACCCGGAAGTAAGCTGCGCATGGCTTCCCTCGACAAAAAAGCAATGAGATTTCTCCATAGGATTTTAGAAAATAGCTCCAAATAAGATCTGTGGGAAACGTAGCAGTTAGATAAATGCACGTTTTGTTCAGCCGGATAATATCCACATGTCTACCCTAATTTTATAATTTTCGAATCATAAATCTATTGATTAGATTAGATTTATGATAGACTTTTGAAACTACAAGAACATAAGGAGGACATTTACAAAAAAGTAATAGAGATTTTTGTCCAGAAGGATAGGCAAATGGACTTCATCTTCAAGTCTTACTAAGAGAGAACAATTCAATATTTAAATGATAAAATTACATTTTTTGGGTATCCTTTTGTTGAACTGTCTGTTTGAAATTAATCGAAGCATCAGACAAAAAAAGTTTTTGAAAATAATATTATATTTTGATTTAGGTCAAAATATAATATTTGTAAACCTGAAGAGTCAGTGCCAGTGCCTCACCAGCCATGAACCTTACTGCAGAAGCTTATAGACATCTAAGTTTTTTGTGCCCCACCACTTTTGTACATATAAAAACGCCACTGCTTACGTGGTTACTTGTATAGGTTGAGGTTGTTCTAGGCTGTTGCTTGGCGTGGCGAGAATATTGCTCCACTTTCTCCGGTCCCCGAGATTCGGCTTCCAGTAGCTCTGGAGAGAGCTTTCCCACCTGTGGCCACTAACGGTCATAATTTATCTGCTTTGTTTCAAGACCCGCATCAGAAAGCTTTTGAATGGTGGTACTTGTTTTCCAGTTGGTCTACCTGCTCTTCACGTAGCTCTGCATGTCGTCGTTTAGGTGCTTTTTTCCCCTGGAGATAGGCACTCCTCAATCCACTCCTCCATAGTCAGACCCTCCCGGAGGTCGAAGTTAATCTTAAATGTTTCCATCTTATGCTTTGTAAGTTTGTTTCGTAACGGAAGAAATGTAAATATATTTATAAAACTGACAAGTCAAATCAAGCAATCTGATTGGTCGATAGCGTTTTTGCGGACCTCTTTGACTACAGATTTGAAAACATCGTTGCTTGCTTTAAAAGTAGCACAATTCATTATGTCAAACCTTGGAAAGTATCTAGATATCCCTGCCCTAATGCCAAAGGAACTGCACACTGAATATGTTTTGCCGTTTGATGTCTATGTCTGAACCGCTGAGTAAAAAGGAGGGTTTCTGCCATGGGCGCGGGAAGGGGGGTGCTGAGGGCGTTGCAGCACCCCCTAGCGGCAGGCAGGGGGTGCGGAGCTCCCCTGTCTGAATTATTATTTGACGGTTATTGCTGCTCCCGCTGTGCATAATATGTGTAATATGTAGCCAATACATTCCACATTGTTGGCTACAATTCTGTAGCCCCGGACAATTCAGTGAATGCAACAGAGGCAAGACACCAGACCAATCAGAGAGTTGCATGGAAATAAAAGTGTGCTTGTGTCATTCAAACTCGGCTGTGTGTGTGTGTGTGTGTGTGTGTGTGTGTGTGTGTGTGTGTGTGTGTGTGTGGAAATAACGCATTTAGTGAGAGAGAGAGAGAGAGAGAGAGCAGAGAGAGAGACGAGAGAGAGAGAGAGAGAGAGAGCGAGAGAGAGAGAGAGAGAGAGAGAGAGAGAGAGAGAGAGAGAGAGAGAGAGAGAGAGAGACCGGTGCCAGCAGCAGGGACCGTATTGTTAGCATCTGGTTAGCTAGCTGCACTAACGGAGCTGTTTGTTCCACAACAAGCTGGAGGAGAGCTCTCCACTCAGCAGGGGCGTCGCCTGGACCTGGAAACATTCGGGGCTTAGCCCACAGTGGCGGTGCTACAGTCGAATTTTCTACTGCAAGACTCCCCACACGCACATACACAATTGCGCCATCTGGTGACACAAACGTGTGCCTGCATTAGCTTTGTTACGGCAATGGATTGTGGGAGATTCTCATAGCACGTGAGGATCTCTTGAGGACAGTGGCGAACCGTCAGGGCCTTCAAGGTATTCAGAGAATACCCTGGAACACTCAGATAAAACAAACAAAAAATCGATTTAATTATATAAATAAAATGTAATAAAATGAATAAATGAGAATGGTACCTGTGTTGTTGATCTGTAATATTACAGTGTTACGTTGATTTGTTTGTCCTTCTCGGACCATGCACTACGCATTTCAGTGGTTTTGTGTTAGAAAAGAAAGCAACCAATCAGATCTTGTTCTGGGTCTCTGGGTAGAATATCCTTCAACCAAGGTATTCTACATCCTTGATCAAATGCCCTGGCTGTTGCACTGAATGAGAGCGTACGTTTGGACTAACAGTTTGATCAACCAATCATATATTGATTTGTAGCCAATGGGCGTATTCTTTCAGAGTTTCCCTCGGTTCCAGGGTATTCTAGAAGGCCCGCTAGTTAACTGTCTCGAGTCAGAGGATAGATGAATGCGACGAAGCAATTCATGCCGTTTTATTGTTTTTAACGTTGAAATGAATACTGCAACAGGTGAAGATGAAATTGTTTTGGAATTGCTGCGAGTACCCTTTTCAAGACGACAATTCAGTGAAAAGACGGACATTATAATGCCGCGGAGGGGGGGGGGGGGGGGGGGCGGTGGCGGGAGGGGGGTGTGTGTCTACAGAAGGTCCAGTTGTGATAGGCACGGTTCGCCTGTATTATCTCGGTGGACAAAATGTATGTTTTTATTTTATAAGGACAATAACGTACTGTTGTGTTTGTAATGTTAATTGTTTAAAGGGTGGTCGGATTCCCTGACGTGGTCGTCAAGATCACCAGCCAATCAGGATTCGCGTAATGAGATTGATGCTTCTGAGGCATTCGCGGGGAGGCGTATCCCATAGTGAGACATCTCACTTCATGTTACTCTGAGAACTGGGGTTACGTTAGTAACCTATAGTTTTTCTCAGGCGCGGAGGGATACTGACTTGTTGTGAAAAGTAACTTACAATTCTACCCATGGTATACCAGTGTGCGAAAAAGTACACGTCCCACCGTCCGGGACGTGTTATTTACAATATCGGACAAGTAGATCTTTCAATTGACTTGTCCGGCGGACAAGTGACGTTTTTCGCCCTGATTTATTGACAAATTATTGATATATTGTGTTTACAAAAGGCAGAACTCATTCGCAAATTGTACGTGTATGCCATTGTTCGTTTAGAAATGTTAGTTTCGGTTCTGCTTGTTGATTCCTAAGGAAATGCATCTCGCCGCTTTCTGTACAGTTAGACGGGGCGGGGCGGGAAGTGTAGCACAGTGGCAGGGTTGGGAAGCAAAACACGGTTCCGAGTAGGAACAAATAACAATTGTCCGGTACCGGGATTAATAAGAGTTGTGAGGACAGGAGGCGAGGCCGAGCCCCGCGGACTGCAGGGCTCTCTCTCTCTCTCTCTCTCTCTCTCTCTCTCTCTACACACAGCGGATCGGCTGCCCGTTTAACAGCCTCATCTTTGTCAAACTTTCTTTCTCTAACACGTAATGAAGGTTATTAAGCGTTTTAGCTCCTGTGTTGTCAATATTGACCGCCATTTCCTTTATGAAGTGAAGCAGCCTCCCTGTCTGTGTCCTCGCGCTGTCCTCACATCCCGGACCCCCAGACTCGGAGGAGCACAGGGATGTCAGTATTGTTTATGAAGCAGGGTATAGAAAGTACATTATTGAAATGAAAATACTATTTATTTACTTTTACAAACAGTGAGCAGCTGGGCAGCTGCAGCATGTGTAAATAAATGCGTGCATGCGTCTTTGAGTTGTAGAAAAGCGCTAGGCCTATAGGCTATAAATATAATGTATCATTATTATTATTAGGCCTATGTGTTGGACATGTGTGGTTGGACTCTGTCTCAAAGGCAGGTTGCAGTGTAACATCAGAGGAGACTGGGCCAATTGTACATTCTCAAACTGCACCACTTAGAACTAACTAAACAATGCAGAGATTATTTTTATATAATTGTATTCAATAACCGTAACGAAATTCAACAGTATGAAGTGATTTATAAATAGTAATACAGATTTGACTTAATGTTTTCATAAATATATTTTTCTCCCAGTTTGTCATAGGTCTTATTTTGACCCTCTCAAAGAACCGGAACCGAAAATAACCGGAATCGAAAAGCAGAACCGGAATCGTTAAAATCCAAACGATACCCAACCCTTTGTGTGATGGAGTAAAATCTTACCGCTCACTTACGTTAGCGGTGTCATAAAAACCGTGGGAAAATTTAAAATACGATGGCGAAGAAGAAGATTCCAGTGGCCCCAATTTTTGTCCATTCTGGACAAGTGAAAAATGTATTCGGACAAGTAAATTGCCAAACTCACTTGTCCATGGACAAGTACTCTCTAAAATCTTTTTCTCACACTGTATACGCTCAGTATATCTAAGAACCAATCAGATTGCTTGATTTGACTTGTCCGTTTTATAATGAGAAACTAATAAACTATGATATGGTATTATTGCTCCTAAAGCCTCCCATTGGATCTTAGAACAGCAAACTGCATTGGATTTTTTTTAAAAAGTGAATTAAAGACCTATCTTTTTTAATTTTGGGTAATTTTAGTTGTATCATTGATCATGTTTTATGGTTTTATGTTTCTGATATAACTTTTCTGTTTGTTTATAACTTGTTTTTAATTATGTTCCTCACTCTTTATTTTGTATCATGTCTTACTCTGTAATGCACTTTGGGCTGCATCTTGCATGAAAGGTGCTATATAAATAAAGTTGTATTAGTTTATTATGTTGCATCTTATTACATCCTTAGCACATAGACAGATATTGTCGTCTGAACCGTCACATTGCTTTTCAAATGCTTTGTCCTAAATTCACTGCAGCAACTATCGAAGAGCCATGTCGTTTTTTGACTTACACAAATATTTATGTTTTAAAAATACTTATTTGATTTCACATTGAGATTCTGATAGTAATTCTCCAACTTTACCTTCAAAAAGCGGACAGATTTTCCTCCAGCATGTAATGCTTCCCTGTTTGGTGTACTGGCCGAGAGACGTCTCCAAGAGAAACAGGGGGATGCCGCAGGTGAAGAGGAAGAGGATGTAGGGGATGAAGAACACGCCTTGGGGAAACGGAAAGTTACACCACATAAGATGTTTGAAGTTCAAACTCATAGGGTAACCCACAAGAATCATGCCAAGAGTTTTGAAAGATATCAAATATCTAAAACATTCAACGTCTGCTCATCAGTTTAGCAGTCAGGGTATTTATATCAGCTTTGACTTTCCTCTGCAGTGTTCATGTTTGGACAACTCATCTGAATATGCACATGTTTTCTGTATTTGTCTTAATCACAGGTGTGTTATCAAATTGGTAAAAGTTTTTAAATGTATGTTAACCACTGACAGTGTCTTTTTTCTAAATGCAACACAATTCTTCTTTAGGTTTCTTTTGATTTGTCTTTATTTTGTGTTTTTTTCGGTTGCTGTACAACTGTACAAGTACAAGTTTCTGAACAAATACTTTTTTTGAAGTGGCCAGGTGTGATTTGTTTAACTTTATCACACCCAATGAAACAGGGCACTTCAAGGATGTCTGGAGCGCATTGCATTCCCCACACGGAGAGAAAGGTGGGATCTTTTTCTTGTTATGAGAGAGTAAATCACGATTATGAGATAAGTGAACTTTCCTTTTCTTTGGTGACAGCATTAGGAATATGAATGAATGGACAGAGAAAGCTTCATAGAACGATCCAAATACTTTTAAAAAAAATGAGAAGCTAAATCGTTTTTGGAAATTGAGATTCTGACTATAACACAGACATACATTATGGCAATAAATAAAGATCTTGCTGTCGGATATTTCAAATTTAAATATGTATTCTTAACAGTTTGTGTTTTATACAGTACATCCTGGGTATGTACTTTTAAAGAAAGTAGAAGTGTTGTTCCTTAATTCTTTGACTACAATGAAACTTACCTCCTCCGTTTTTGTAGCACAGGTAAGGAAACCTCCACACATTTCCTAAGCCTATGATTTGTCCTGCAACAGCCAGAAGGAACTCAATTTTGTTCGACCACTCGCCTCGGGTCAGGGTTGGGGGTGCAGGCTGGGCTGTGGCCATCTCCAGCCTGTACTTGTCCTCTGGCTCGTAAGGCTTTTTCATCATACTGTAACAAGACAAGGGAAAAAACAACAAATAGTTTAAGTGGTTTTCAGTGACAGAAATACAATTCTCACTTTAAATTTGAAAACATTTATAAAAGAAATCTCATTTATTTGTTATTTTGAAGTAGCAAAGGGTTAGGACAGCACATTCTTAGTATTTCAATTTACTTTTAGTACCGGGAAAGCAACGTAACAAAAATAATCACTAACCACAGCAGGAATATTGACATAATTTAATGACTGTATTTTAATGTTCATAATTTGGACAATGCCAGCAGTCTTTCTGTATTAGGTCAATAAAGGGTCAGTGCAGCTTGGCAGGAGGGTAATTCTTCCATCAATGTCGCTTTTGTGTTGCTGCCTTGGATTTAATGTGGGAGGGGAGCAAATAGACTGGAAAATATGTGTGCTACTACATTAGCTTTATATGCGTAGATTCTCAAAACAGCTTTACCAGTTATTTAAGGGTCGTGAGAGTTGTGATATCAACTCCTGCAATGTTACGCTAATTATGAAGTATCTAAAATAACATAAATAATAATAAATATTATTTAAAGCCTGTATGGCTTGGTTGGTGGTGTAAGTGGACAGTAGATCTGACAGATACTTGATCTTTGAGGCACGAATAACTCTGGATATGGATTCCTCATAATTATTTGTCTTTTCTAACTGTGACTAAGTTAATGTATTAGCAGGACATTTCACAGTTGAACCAATAACTTTATATACTGTAATAGTGCTTTCTGTAGTGCAATTTCTTGTGACTTAAAAGTCCATATGAAAACCTACATTTAAAATGTTTTAGGGTGTGCCATTTGGGGCATAGATCTTACTTTATATTGTTTTGTTTTAAATCTCATACTGAGAAGGAGAAAGGATAAAGGAAATGGTTAAATGACAACCTGAAAGGAATAATATCATTTATAAACGAGCATGTCTGATATGCAACACTCAATAATTGATCAGGTCTCATAAAAGGCTTACAGCCACCAGCTCCCTTTTTTTCTAATCAACAAGCATCCGTGGAACCCAGTTAGTAAAGATTTTCAATTCCATTCCCTGTGTTTATGTCCTGAATTTGTAAAACTGTATTACATTGACTTGCTCATGCAAAAAAACAACCCTATAACTATAAATGTTGTAGCTGATCTAGACTACTTGTCTTTTTTTCTATTCTGTCTGGGTAAAATATGTTACACCAAAGTAGTCCTGTTTGCCTCTGCAAAGACCTAATGTTGCTATAGGTGCCAGCTCGTTCACCTTATCTCATCTTAAATACTTGGCTCTCAAAAGGTGGTATATGCTAATGTCCCTGGGAGTCATATCTGAATCTTTTGAAAGTGAAACTGGGTAGAAGTAGAAATACCACATTGTTATAATAATTTTTCAAATAAAGTTTCAAACACAGGCCCTGCAAAAAAAGGCAGTCTTTGGTGCAGGCGTTTACAATGTATAATATATACTTAAATAGAGGTAATATGTAGGTGTTCATACCAATATAAAATGCAGAGCTTACTGGACAATGAAAAACTATTTTATATGCAAAACATATATAAAAGTCTAGTGTAATTTACACATTATGTTACAGACTATATCTTAAATAGTAAGAAACTGTAGCTCAATATAGACTTGTCAGTTTCCTTGAACAAGACAATAATGAGCCCCAAATGTGGTACCAAAATATAAGTGCATGTGTAAAAGCTGTCTGCCATGTCAATTAAAATGTTGTGGTACAGTGCGACATTGTCACACTACCAGATGCTGGATACAGTTTGGAAGTTCGGTACATTCAAATAAACTTCAGTTCTGTTTGCCTTCTCATACAATTTACCTTTACCTTCTCATTTAATTTCCTGATACCAAGGGACCGTTGCCTAACAAGTTATATTCTTCATTGACGTCTGCTGTGCACCCACAAAAGCTCAGTGTGGACACGCTGTATGAGGTTGGTGTAACAATTTTGTATGTTTTTGGGTGAATTTAAAGCTTTCAATATGCTTTTTCAAAAGGGCTTGTTGGATGGTTGAAAACAACACCCAACACCTTTCCAACTCCAAATTTGGGACAGCGTCTGACCATTTCTGTACCTCTTATATTTTCGTTTTTCTTTCATTCATTATTCTCAAAATTACTTTAGTCACTTTATGTATATACGAACCTGAAAGAATTGTTTCACCTTTCTATGATTGCAGACTTTTCGCTATGCTTTTAATTCTGGATGTCCAGCACAGCTTTGCATTGCATGACTTCAGACACGGCTATACAAAATGTTGTACAAATAAGTTTGTTTCTGCTCTCTGAAAATGATATTTCTGGCATTGGTATGTGAGCAAACATACCAGTGCTATCGAGGCTGGAGGGCTGAGTGTTTGTATCTCACAAACATTTCAGTGTCAATGGTGGTGTCCCTGTTTGACTTTCCAGTTCCAATTCACTATGAAATTCCTCCCCTCAGTGTAAAGGATGACCTCAGGAAAAAGACTGTAACACTGCTCAAAATATCAACTGCATCTATTCAGTTAATGTCCTATAAATGGTGTCATTGTTGTCCAGGAAGACAACACTCGAATTGAACAGAAATGCAAAACAAAATAATGTTTTATTTATTATATATTTATAATATCTTCTTTTAAACTGGTCTGGAGTTTTTATTTTTCAAATATAGAATTTGTTGTTTAGATTATTGTTAAGTTATCATTTGGCACAGTGGTGTTTTGAGCTTAATGCTTACAGCAACATGCTATAACATACTCACAATAACAATGTTAATATGCTAATGATATACAGTTATTATGTGTACCCTGTTCACTGTGTTAGTTTATGGTGGTTTCAAGCCTATGTTTCAATAATTAGCTTTAAAACCAAAGGTCTACAATGTGGCTGACATAACGTTTTGTTCTTAAACAAAGTATTGGACAAATTAAAATATTGACCTGCTGGTGGCAAAACACAAAGTGTGTGGTAATCACCAAATTCAGCAGGATGAATCTACTGGGAGACATTTAGCTTTCAGTATTTCAATCCAACAGTTCATACCAAAGTGGTACACTGCCACCCCTTAAGCCATGACTAATGTGGCTAAAAAAAGTGTACTATTAATGATCACCAGTCTTATGTTTCAGTTTGAAAAAAAAAAACCATTGGAATATATTTTGTCTGCCTGTGGATGGAGGAAATGACTATCTCAATTTAGTTGCACAGGACTATAATTCCTGGAAGACGAGTAGGACAGAAGAAAAGTTTGTTGCTCCTTAGCAAAACGTTCAGGTGACCGTTGGAAAGTTACAAGTCGAACCCCCTGGACAAATACTGACAAGAAGAGGGCTGTTATGAAACATATTTAAGTTATTCTTACTTGATGAGTAAGTGCCTTTTTATGTATCTCTGTCTAGCATCAACAGGGAGGAATGGGTTCAGTGATACATACTTTTCAATTTAGATTATCTGTTTTTCCGAGGTTAATTAAGCGTGCAAATAAACTCAAGATGTTGAAAAGGGAAACATGTATTCATAACTTACAGCTTGTATTTTCTGAAATCGATCATAGCAAAAATACTGTATGATTTAATATTAGTCTATAGAAAAGTAACCTTTTAAAGAGTTAATTCGTATACATCTGTTCAAATATTTGCACAAGACAAATGCATTTTTTCAAAACTATGTGAGCTTTCAGCAGCAATGATCACAGCCATACTAAACTCACTGGACAGGGGAAATAGCTGCTCTGTGCAGCGTAGACAGTAACCTTTAGCCTACATTACACAGCTACAGGCGCAAAGCAGAAGTGCAACCACACATGCCCAACAGTCTCTGAACTGATACCATTTGTTTTATCTTCAAGAACCCAGACCCAAGTAATGCTCATTCGCAAATGTGTAAATAAACACAAATTAAATATATTAAAAAGCTGATAGTGACCTCAATAGCTAGTAGGTACCTGTTAAGGTCGCTTCACGTCTGTAGTCTGTGTAGTTATTCTTCCATTTAGCCCTCCTAGCTGGGATTCATCTGGTGCCTTTAAGGGGAAATACAAGTCAAGATCTCCCAGTTTCTCCAGGACAAGTGCTCTTCCCAGCTCTGACCATTAATGAGCCCATGAGTAGAGGCTTGAGAGAGCCGTGTTTGTATGACAATGAGAACCGGGGGGGACAGAGTGAGGGAGGAGGGGGCGGGTGTTATGGGTTTCTGAATGAAAAGGCGGAGACTGTTCATGGAGGCCACGTGGGTCTCATTGTAAAGAGAGAGATGCTGTACAGTAGAAAGAAGAACTACTCAGATCTTGTGTTTAAGTAAAAGTAGAAGTACAATGTGTAGAAATAACTCTGTTACAAGTCCTACAATCCAAATGTTACTCTAGTACAAAAGTATTAGCATAGAAATTTACCATAGTACTCATTATTTTACTCATTTACTCATTATTATTTTAATAACTTTGTATACTGCAGGGTAGTTTGTGGATTTGAAGTCTTATTTAAGTGTTACATATAATTAAAATCATTAACCAACATTTGAAAAGTAATTGAAGTTATTAAATACATTTAGTAAAGTAAAAGTACACTTTCATTCACCTCTGAATTATAGTGGTGTAGAAGTACAATGTAGCAAAAATATGTATATAAATAAAAGTTTCTGAAAATGTTATTTATAGTGGACTTTAGACCATTTAGGTCGTTAGGATATTCATCCACATGGTTCAAAAAGAAAACCTGATACTGCAATCTACAGAAGATGAAACCTGTTTCTCATTCTTTAACACACAGTGACGTCACAGCTACCCACAATGCAAGGCGCGCCATATTTTTTTTATAAAGACGCCATTTTTCTGGAGGTGCAAAAATCCTGGCGATGCTAATATAAACAGCTAGCTAATGTAGCCAGGCAGAGCGCACTAGGTTTTTTTTCTGAATTAACGACCGAAGAAATCGCTGCATGTCTTCGGATTACATCTCTGGACTTGAGGGGTGTGCTCTAGGTCGTTACCGGCGTAAACTAGAGCTGTGTGGGTTGTTGGATGTACAATGTATGGAATTACGACCCTCAAAAGTGGCCTTCGGTCGATTTTGGCATCTACGTCTATCTTCTGGAAACACCAGGTGAATACCCCACTTGTCACAATAATATTATCATGCCAATGCATATATGTGGTATTTTAGAGTTGACTATATTGATTAAGGCAATCGACTATGATATTCTGTATGCACCTCGTGTGAAATGGTTGATACCGGAAGTACGGTGTCGCCCTCGGCCCAAAACCCGTATGTATGTGTGAAAGAATTGAGCACCATGACCTGCAGGTTGACAAGGTATTTTTTGTTGTTGGTTTCATTAGTCCTGTGTGCATTTAGGTTCTGCATTTTCTGTTAGTCTTTTTGAGATCCTTCTGTCAGGGTTGAGCGAAGCAGGCAGGACCCACACGCAGATTTAACAGGAAATAGCCTACCTTTATTTAAAGACTACAAGAAAAATACAGAGCTCTTCCCCGTGAACACAGTCAAAAACAAACAAGGATCTCACAAAGACTGAAAACGCAGAACCTAAATGCACACAGGACTAATGAATTCTGCTGAAACCAACAAGACACAGGGGCACAAGGTGAACACAATCAGGTAATCAGGTAGGGAACGGAGAGACAGGAAACCAAAGACAGATCTAGACAAATAAAACACAACACAGACAGATCGTGACAGCGTGTGTGTGTATATGCAGGGGTGCCCAACCAGTCGATCGCGATCGACCGGTCGATCGCGGGGAGATTCCCAGTCGATCGCGAGATGTGTCTAAAAATAGAACAACAATATTCTGTTTTATCATTAATGTCCTGTAACATAATCTTCCTGTGCCAGAATAATGCACTTGAACGCATCAAAGCTTTGTGATTGGCCGGCGTGACCCCATGTGTCGGGGCGTGGCTGGTGAGCAGTGGGCAGTGGGCAGTGGCACTAGTTCGCTAACGTTGTCCGTGTCAACAGGAGTGACAGTCCGCACACACACAAGACCGCAATTATGGCAGAAGCAAAACATATATAATTTTCACTCCGAGTGGGAGGATGATTATTTTTGTATCTATTCCAATTCAAAGTCCATCTGTCTCATCTGCAATGCGAGCGTGGCTTTATCGAAGAAGGGTAATTTAGGAGCGGCATTTCAAAACAGTGCACAAATGCTACGAGACGGAATTCCCTCCTAATTCTGCCCTACGCTCCCAAAAGGGGAGGGGCCTGAAAGGACAGCTAAATGCACAGCAGTCCATTTTCACCAGGCCCAACAATAAGAGCAAGGCTGCTTCCAGAGCATCTTATCGTGTCAGTCACGTTCTTGCGAAACACATGAAGTCTTTCAAAGACGGCGAAGTTGTGAAAGAAGCATTCAACAGGTTTTTGATATGATAAAAACTCAAGTTAGATACCGTTATTAATCAGCTCTAAGTTTGAGCTTGTGTTTGAACTTATTAATTATAATTATTGTACAAAATGGTATAAGAATGCAAACTTAAATTGATTATAATCTATTATCAATTCAGGTTAAGATAGTGTTGCTTGCATCCTATTTTAAAGGCATTTATTTTTATACTCTACTAAAATGCAACAAAAAAAGGGTTTGATTCTATTAATTTTGTCTTTTTTATTGTGTAGCTTCAGATCTGAGTTGTCTTATTAGTAAGCCTAATTTATACTTTTGTAGCAACACTATTTTTATATCATGGCAAAGAAAGGGTTCAGAGTATTTTCTTTTTTCCCTGTGTCATATGTGGCAGCACTGTTCAATGTTTCTTGAAAACATTACCCACTGTAGTATGTGACGTGTGAATAAACTCCAACTCTGTATCAACAACATTGTTGTGTACATTTTATGAAGTATTAATCGTACAAAGGTCAGTTTTATACAAGTAGAAGTGTGTATTTACCTGGTAGTAGGCTGTCAGTAATGGCTACGCCTCTCTATTTGGACTGGTAGATCTCGGCAGACTGGCAACTTTAAAAGTAGCTCTCGGTTCAAAAAAGGTTGGCACCCCTGGTGTATAGGCTATATGTAGCCTATGTGTGTCACTGCCAATTAGTAGCTTGGGACCTTCCTTTTTGATGGGGTTTAGTTGATAGGGTGGTCTAGTGTGAGTGCATTGACGTGGACACACTGTGCTTCTTCACCTACATTTTGGTTCTTGCGCATTCACTTAAATCCTAAAAGCTTGGATCTTATATTTAAAACTAAGGTTATTACTACTTCTCATTCTTCTAAATCTACTCTCTCTCTACTTCTCATACTCTCTACTCCTGTAATCTATTCATTCTATTTTCTCTCTATCCAAATCCTTTCCCCTCTCTGACCTCTCGAGGTTCTATTAGAGCAGGGGTGGGGAACCTCCGGCCCCCGGGCCGTATACGGTCCGCGAGACAATTTGGTACGGCCCTCGAGGTCATTTATAAACACACGCAAAAAAAAAAAAAATTAAATAAGCGAATGCCTGTTTTTCCTGGCCAAGGTTAGGGTCCATGAAGACAACACGAGCCTAACGTGTCATCTCCTGTCAAATGTTCTATGGGACGTCTCTACTGAACGTGTTCGTTTTCCCCACAATTAGAAGTTGCCAGTATTAAACACATTGGTGTTATCAAATGTAAAACATATAATTAATAAATGGGTGAAAATCGCTTGTGTCCATAATGTGCAGCATTAATACCCACATGACAGCTCATTGTTACTTTGTAATTCTACTCCACTACAATTCAGAGGTTAACCTGGTATTTTTACTCCACTGCATTTATTTGAGTTACTTTGCAGATTCTGATTAATTATGTGAAATATAAACAACCCTTAAATCAGACTTTAGTTACACCTGAGTACAATTCAGGTAAGGTTAAGGTTATTTTCCTCACAGACGGCAACAAAAGTCCGAAATTATACGATTTAAAATAAAAGCAATAATTGTGGCTTGATATTGAGTAAGAACATGTTTTTATGAACCACACAGCTTCCGGTCTCCCACGACCCGCCGGAGAAAAATACGTGCTGAAGGCAGTAGAAATACATTGCTTTTAAAATCGTGCTGTGCAACACGAAAAAAAAGGGGCAAATCGTGTTGGTGAACACGAATCAATAGATTAAAAATCGTGTTGGTGAACACGAAATGCAGTGAGACTGGGTTGGTTCCTAAGGCTGACTTCATCTCTGGCTACGCCTCCCTGCAGTCCCTGGATTTCCTTGCTCTCACTGAGACCTGGATTACTCCATTCAACACATCCACCCCAGCAGCTCTCTCCACAGCATATTCCTTCTCCCATACACCCAGACCCACTGGCAGAGGTGGTGGCACTGGTCTCCTGCTCTCTCCCAAATGGAGCTTTTCCCTCTTCAAGCTACCTAACTTCACTCCTTCCACCTTTGAATTCCATGCCGTCACAGTAACCCATCCTATACAATTAACCATTGTTGTTCTCTACCGTCCACCAGGCGCCTTGGGGGACTTCTTGGAGGAATTAGAAAATCTCCTCTCACACATCCCTGAAACTGGTCCTCCCGCTGTACTTCTTGGAGACTTCAACCTCCAGACAGGGAAGATAGACAAACTAACATCTCTGTTAACCGCCTTTGCTTTCTCACTGTCTCCTTCCCCACCAACTCATAAAGCTGGCAATGTCCTTGATCTCATATTCTCAAGGAACTGCGCTACTTCTAACCTCTCTGTAAACCCGCTCCACACATCCGATCACTTCTTCATTTCATTCTCTCTACCCCTTTCCAAACATAACAAACTAATCTCTTCTCATCCTGCACCTGTCCGCCGTAACCTTAGTTCCCTCTCCCCCTCTACCTTTGCCTCATCGGTGCTCTCAGCCCTCCCTTCCTCTGACTCGTTCCAACTGCTGCCTCCAAACTCTGCTGCAGAAACTCTCCTCTCTACTCTCTCATCCTCTCTGGACTCTCTCTGTCCTCTCACATCTCGGCAGGCTCGTCAGTCCCCTCCTGCTCCCTGGCTAAATGACGCACTACGTGCTAATAGAACCGTCCTTAGGGCAGCAGAGCAGAAACGGTGGAAATCCAAACACCGTGACGACCTCCTAACCTATCAGGCTCTCCTCTCCTCTTTCTCTGCTTCGATCTCTCAGGCAAAAAGCACTTTCTTTCAAGATAAGATCCAATCTTCC